CGCCCCGAGGAAAAACATTTTAGAGGTTGAATTTCACATACTGGTATAAACATTCGTTAAGCCATTTTAATAAGGATAGGAAATTGTTCCTGAAATTTAACTCGTGTTTCGTCTCAGCGGTCAAATGCCGCCCTATACTTACATTACTAAATAATAATACCTCATGATTTGATCCCCTGACCTCTGTTATTTCAATTTGCACATTTTCTCGGCAGATCGCAGATTAAAATTTGAAATCATACCATTGTAAAGCGAGTTATTTGTTTATATCGACCTTCCTCATTTTTTTATTATGAAAATATTTTGATAATGTAATCTGATTTATCTCAGTGTTTAATTCTGAACCAGAAAAACTAAAATGAGTTATCTCTTTTACGAGAATTTTTAGACTTTAACTAAGTGTCAGATGACTGCAAAACATCTTGCGTAAAGCGTGTTTCCGGACTTTAGTTAATGAGAGGAAGATGAAGATGGAATGAGAGATGAAATGAAAAAGGGAGCTAGAAAACGAGCACAAGTAAAAGAGTGAATGGGAATTCGTATTGCATAAAACATCTATAAAAGAAAAATGAAAGACTATCATAATATAATAGTGTCATTTGGTTTTATGTTTCATTTGGCTTTGGCAGATTAAAAGCGATTTAAGAAGTAAATTTATGCATGAAACTGTTACGTACGGGAGTAACGACTTTTATAAGTATAGTTAGTATTATTTGCACAAAAAACCTTTATTTATTTAAATCAACTAACAATTCATCCTTTTTTCGGTGTCTCAGAATTCATCATTTCTGCAGAAAAAACACAGTAGAAAGAAAGAAATCGTCTTTCAAAATATTTAAAAGATCTTCTAATAATAAAAATATCAATTAATTAAGTTAGACTAATTACATTTATGTAAAATAAAGATTATTATTTTGGGAGTGGGACTTAACAAATCGCATTGTTTGCTTATACCATTTGTGAAGACGTTCCGGTGTTGCAGGTTTAGCATAACCCGTCAGCCGTTTTTCTAAGCCTTCGTTTTTCCCTTTCCTTCTTTATGTCTAATTCACTCCCACAGAAAAAAATTCACAAAACAACAATTCAATCCATTTATTAAGTAGTGTAAAAAAAATTATATAAGTAAGATAAATGATAAGTTGATAAAAAGAACTGGGCCTAAAACTGCAACGAAAGTAATATAATAGTAAAATATGTTTATAAAAATCGGTGTCAACAATGCAAAGAAAAGATTTAAATAAAATGTTTTCCCGTCATTTTGCTATTCATAGATTTCAAAAAAGCTATTGTGACATGATCATGAAGAAACTATAAACCATTTAGTAATTATAAGTCATTTCTCACGTACCATACATACTTTAACATAAAACAACATACCAAATAAAGCCATGATTTTAGGAATTAACGAAATGGAGAATGTCTTAATAACGTGAAATTGGCTGACAATATTGTTCCTGTCCTTTTTAAAAGGTAGTTCCTTCTCACAGTAAGTTGTTTTGCAACGATCCGGATTTCGAGCGTTTAGCTCATCATCAGGTTGAAAGAGTTCTGCAACCTGACGATGAGCTAAAAGCTCGAAATCCGGATCGGTGGAAATAAAACTTACTGTGAGTAGGAACTAACTTTTTAAAAAGGATGGAACACCGCACTCAGTCCATCATTCATCGTTCTATATTGTTCCTTCAAATTGTCAAGAATTGAAAAAATGTCTAAATTTATCCTACATTTTTCTGTTTATGTTAATTTATTGACATGAATATAGTTTATCGTGGAAGGAAAGAGGTTGTTTAACCCCGCCCTGAGGATTATCGAGTACTCTGGGGTGAGTAAAAGCAAGTTATTAGTGAGAATGGGGTTTGGCCAAGCCCCAGGATTTTGAGTATCCTGTGACAAGGCTTTCATGTTTGTACCGAATGGTGTATATATTTTAATTCAATATTTGGAAGAAAAAAAGCTGGTATTAGTCCAGACGTAAAAAATAGAATTAAGCGTAATGATTAATAATAAAAGTAAAAAATTGGAAGAGTTATTTTATTTACTTTACTCTTAGAGAAGCTGGTTCTTAAAACATATGCTCACTCATTTCCTTCAAACTTAGGAACCAAATAAGAAAAATCTCGAGAATTTTGGTATTATTAGATTTTATGGAAACAAAACAAGAAATTAATAAATTAAATAAAGTTGAAATCATTATTATGCGCTAATGCAAAAATTACCGAAGTGAAGCAGAAAAAGTAAATGTGAACAAAAACAAAGGATGTAGAAGAAAAACTGTCTCACTTCTAGATGACGTGGATAACATAATTTGTTAAAGAAGGTAGAACTGGACACGCTCTCACGAGAGCAACAGGGAGTCGGTCAAAACAGATTGTCGAGTGGTAACCCAGAAGGGATAAATGAAAGGAAAAGACTTATTGCAGAGACTTGCAGAAAGATCTGTGATTCAGTTTTGCGTCATTGTTTGACAAAAGACAGTAAAGATGCTGACTGAATACAGCGTAAAACATATTATGGTAAAAATTGGTAAAAGAAAAAGTGGCATGGTTTTTATGGGGTTTATTTAAATATAATATGTAAACAAAAAATAATCATTTTCAATTTTCAACTTACTTTCGAATAAATGTTAGTTCATTATTCTTATATAAATTCAAAGTTCAAAATATCTCGAAGTTTTTAAGAAAAAGATATGTCATAAAAAAAATGTTCGTATTTGAAATTTGTTAATTTTATGTTTGTTTTTGTTTTTTTAATCCTAATGGCCAATTACATTTTTACGTATTATTGCTACTATTATTACAAAAGCTTAAGTGAAAATTCTCTGTAACGAAATCCATAAAATTCTGAAACGAGGTTATCTAAATTGCTAATTTTCACAAAATCCGTTCTCGTCGTTGGATCAAGATTATTGGCAGCTAATTAAAATAATGTGAATTCCGAAAGGTTTTGAAGTGTTAACGTATTAAAAACGTTGGTGGAGTTTTTATGAACCTTCAAAAACTTGTCCAAAGATTGATGTAAAAGATATTTGGGCGGGTAAAATTTAAAAATTTGATTGGCATAAACCGAAGCGAGCAATCTTCTATTTTGATACCGATCCTGCAAAGCCTTATAAGCATAGGAATTACATTTTTACGTAAAGATATATACATATAGGTAATTATTAAATTCAGTCAGAGAATAATCCAAAAAGCACTCCACTTTTCTGAAGAGTGAGCAACCTCGGCCCCGAGTTCATCAGAATATCAGATTCAGTGATAACACAAGAAAATTAATATATTTAAGAGCGAAGAATGATAAGAGAGCGAGGATTTTTTTTCCAAAAAAAGGTTATCGCTTCTACCGGATTAAGTGTAAAAACGATTTACAGCACTAAAATTTACTACTGCCGTAAACAGTATGAAACTAACATTATTAAATTTTATCCTATAGGCATGTCTAAACATAGTAAGATACCCATTATATTCTCTTGTCAGAAAATTTACTCGGTCGTGGGGTGAAACCGCAAAACGAAACCGTGCGGCTTAAGTTGAACGTTCGAAATTCCAAACTTAACCGAAACATATACCCATGCTTAGTACGGACATAATTTAAAACGATGAAATGATTTAAATTTTAGTATCAATAAACTAACCAAATTCTAAAGGACTTAGAAATTTTTGTTTCTTAATGATAAGCCATTTTGGCAAGTTAATGAACTGTTCGTGAAATTCATACATTACTATCTTATATTGTAAAGCAAATACCTAGAATCAATGAGAAAGATTAGATTATCTCTGATGTCAGAAAGCTGAAATTAATGGGTCGTTTGTTAAACTTATGGGCATGTAGCGATCGAGTGGAACAATTCTCTTGAGTACAGTGGTGATTTCTATAAGAGTTGCTTCCCCTATAAGAGAAATAAAGCCCGTGAGCGAACCAACTTTATCCACCTTTCTTCTAGTATGAAGAGATCTGAAAATAACCCAACTCTTTTTTCATTTAACTTTCCTTTATAAAAGAATGTGAGTGCAAAACGCCGATTTTAAGAAAACATCAGTCTTTTAAGCCGATATTCGATCATTTCTAGTAGGTTTTTAATAATTTCTAACTTTTTATGTCAATTGGGTCGGAATGGATTGAGCAGTATTACATAAAAATCTACTTAACGGACCTGAAGATGCATATTTTAATGACGAGTTATATCTAATTTATATTTTGTAAAATATGTTTTTATGTCTCTTCTGTATATGATGAAATGATATAAAGAATTTTTTATGTAAGTTGATTTTTGGAAAAATTAAAGAAGAAGAAGAAATGGGAATAGATTTGAATCCTATTGGCCATGCCTTGGGTAAATAAAGAAGATACGAATTATTTTTTGTTCCTTATTTATATTATTGTTTTAAGGAATAATTAATTAATTGATGTTATGTTTTATTATAACGCTTTCGGCTATTATTTTATATATGGCTTGTATGAGTTCACCTCTATCTGCTTCACGAAGGATTTGTGTTACCATACTTGGAAGGTTTATACCATTTTTGACCCACTAGAGTTTTGAGGCATTCCAGTACCATTTGGTCTATGTATTAGATGGACAGATTGCTCAAACACAAAATGGGGAAATCTATAATTTTGAGCTTTTGGAGATGGACAGGGTTGCAATTAATGTTAGGAATTTTGTGGGAAGATTTTTGTTTCTGAACCATGTATGGTCTCACGTTGAATTAGATGAGTGCCTAGTGCCTTCCTTCATTTCTCCTGTTCTACATGAACATTTTTGTAGATCCCATACATCCGATGCTACTACATAGTTATGAGAGAGTATAAAACACCGACTCGAAGCGCACTCTTTGCAAATTTATCACCTCGTCATTCAATTTGTTCTTACGTTGTCCTTTGACCCACTCAAGCCAAATGTTTTTATTTTTATTTTCGAGGTCTGTAAGCGCTTATTTGAGCATTAGCAGTACAGGGTGTTTAAGAAAATATTTTAAAAACGCAAATCAGAAAAAACGTCAATTGTTTCATGTGATATTATTTTTTATAACGCTTCTATGACATATGGGCATTTTAATATATTTCATTAGTAGATTTCAGACAAACAGATTCTTCTAGGACTTCGGCGTTTCTATGAGATTTTATGGGGAGAGGATTGAAAGTTGTTTTTCTTCGCACTAAGTAATGGCAGCAAGTTTGTTTTGTCTAATCTAGAATGCTGAAGTAATCTTTGAAATTGTCCTGCGCCTTGACCAATTGATCGAATGGGACTTTACTGAAGTGAGAACTATCACGAATTGATTTCATTTTCGGTTTAAATGGAGGCCGAATCCTTTTTTTGAGTAACTCCTTCCAATCAAGATCATGAAAGAACGGATGATTTTTAATGTCTTTTGCGCCTCCTTTCAGGTTTCCGAGCCTCTTGGTGTAATTGTTCTGGAGGAGTTCGTCGATCAAATCACGTACATCCGAGCTGCTCCATTGTCCCTGCGGAAACCTGTAATCGCCGGATTGGATGAGGGAAAAAATTTTAAGCCGGTTCTTGTTTTCGAACGGAGAACGTCCAAAGATGAGTTCGTAGAGCATGATGCCCATCGCCCACCAGTCGACGGCAAACCCGTAGCCTTCCCCTTTCAAAATTTCCGGAGCGATGTACTCGGCGGTGCCACAAAACGAGTACGTCCTCCCGACCACCCTCTTAGAAAAGCCGAAGTCCGTTAGCTTGATATAACCGTCGAAGCCGATGACAACATTCTCGGGCTTGACGTCCCTGTGGATCAAAGACAAGGAGTGCAAATATTCCAAAGCCAGGGTGATCTGGGCAATATAGAACTTCGCGACCATTTCGGGAAACTGTTTATACTTTCGAAGCTGAGTGTACAGATCGCCTCCTGGGCAGTAAGGTGTGGCGAAGTACAGAAAATTATGGTCTTGAAAGAAATAGTCGAGTTGAGCAAGAAATTCAAACCTAATCGACGACATGATGGATTTTTCGTTGAAAACTTTCATTATTCTGTCTTTCTGGAATATAAGCTGCTTCGACAATACCTTAATGGCGTAGTATTCCCCTGTGGCGAGGTGCATGGCTTGGATAACAGTGCCATAACTACCACGACCTATACTTCGAATTACTTCGAAATCTGTGAGTTTCGCTTCCTTCGGCTTCCTCTCCGGTTCTTGCCCATCTTGTAACAAGCTATTAACAATCACTGTGCCTGTTTAAAATGTCCCCTGAAATAAAAATTACTTAAATTAATCTCTCCTTATATTTTCAAGCCCTCAAAAAATTGTATAACTACCTAATTTAACATGAATTGTAGTAAAAATTTAATTACACGAAAATTATTCAATCTAAAAAAGTGAGATTTAAAAACACATAGCTGTAGTTTTGCCATTTTAAAATTTAGGAAGATTATGATGGCATAATTAAAACAATACATATGTTCTGACAAATTTGAATCACATACACTTTCACAAACATATGCACAATACAATCAAACTTCATAAAAAAATTTTCCAACATTTTTGTTTTTAAAAAGAATAATACAACCACTTTCCTTATCCTTTTATTATTTTTCAGTTTTGGTGGTTTTATAATAATCACTCCCTTTATCTAACAGTTTTTACTTTTTGAATAAGTTAAAAGTAAAAACCCAAAAAGAAAGATGAGAAGTGTCTCTAAAAAATTATTTCCAACAGAAAAGAATAAGGAAAGTGGCTGTATTATTGTTTAAAAAACTAAAAACCAAAACTATTAACAAGTAACAACAAATAGAAAATACTGTTTAAATTTTATTTTTTAAACACTTGTCAATGTAATATGTAATGTGTAGAGATTAGTGACCGTTAATCGATAGTAATTCAGATAGATAGTCAAAGTAGAGCAGCGGCGTATTTAGCCGAAGGTCGTGGGTTCGAATCCCGCTTGTGACACTGACTTTTTTATCTCAACCAATACCTTTCATAAATATTAATTAATTGAAAAGGACTAAATAATAATGTTTTTCCTTTACCAACTATTTAGAAATTTTGATCGGTATCATAGATAAATATATTTAATTCTAGAATAGTTTATTACATTTTCATGGAAGTTTTGGCCATGAATGTCTTTAAATCCAACCGTGCTGATATGGTCGTGAAGTGCTTACTTATTAATTATATAATTATAATTATTTACTAGCAAGTCAGAAGCGTTTGAAGAAACGCACTAGGATTTTATTATTAAAAAAGAGCTGAATTGATCTATAACGAAAATATCATGAAAAATCGACGATGTTTCTGTATTTAACAAATTTAATTATATCTTTAAAAATACACAACTCAAAGCTTAGGATGAGTCAACAAAAAGCGCTGTTTTTTTTTTCAGAATTTAAAATTCATTTGGCCTTCCATTTTCTCTTGAAATCATAAAAAATAGATTCATGTGAATCGTCGCTCTTCTGCAAGTCGATTTCTAAATGTTTGTGTAAACTTGGACCATCGTAAATTTATGATAACTTTAAGGGTTAACCAAAACTTTAAACATCTCATGGTATTATTAAAAATTTATCGGTTACAACGGGGTTATCTTGAGACAGAATAAATAAAAACGACCTTTTCTTCCTAGACGTTTAAATTTGTAATCTTTGGAAAAAATTTAAAATAAATTTATAAAAAAATTTATTATGTTATAGGTATAATATATCCAATGCTGTCTTCATTACAATAATATTTTTTATATTTTCTCTTGGATTTAATAGTCGTAGTAAACCCATTATCCACCACTGTACATTAAAACTATATTTTCAAAAAACTGTACTAAAAATAAATATTTCTAAATAAATATTAAAAATAAAGTAATATAAATATATTTTCACAACAAATTGAATGTACCGTGAGATACAAATTGGAACTTGATGGCAACATCCCAATTTTTCAGCAATTAAATTGATTCACTCATTGCTGTATAATTGTAAATGTAATAAATATAAAGTACAACTTATTGATGTATTATTTATAAGCTTTTCCACCACCAACCCCGTTTTAATGAAATATTTAAAAGCTCGAGGCAAAAACCGATTCCTCAGATATCGGAATTTACTACCCTTCAGCATGCAGTCGGGAGACTTGATTAAAGCTATAAAAATAGAAAATTGGCTTTGGCTATGCTCTATATCCAAGGTAAATGCCAGGTCAGTCGTGAGCATACTTCAAGCATCGGACACTTAGAAGAAACTTATAACGGCGACGAGACTTAATCTCCTCCTACGTATTTAGAAACAAATCTGTATATGTTGAATGAATAAAACATGAAATAATAAGATTATTATTATAACAGATGCAATATCTTTCAATGCCCCTTTATCTTATTCAAATATTTGTATAAGACCGTCATACAACAAGCTCATCATAATATTCATTACTTAAATATTGCCAACTTCCAATCTGAGTTATTGTAATGATAAAAATTATAAAACAGGATTTTCAAAGTATTTACAACGCTTTAATTTTGTGGGCCAATATGTGTTTATATTTAGAAAAAAATGACGTACACCTGACTGGCACATGAAATCTACAAAACAAATTCTCATTAATGATTCAAACCTGATTTTTTGTCATAGAAAAAAAATAATCCAATAGAGCAAGACATTGAAATTATTTTTTTATTAGCTGTTTTCATCAAAATTTCCATGCAACCGGCGTCGTACAGCGAGGAATGCTTGCAAAACGGAATCGCTGAAGTTGATTTGAATCATTTTTTTACAAGAATGTGGAAAGCACTTATTTTTATCATGAGACAAAGTGAAGGAAAACAACAGATCGTCTTCGGAGATTCAAATTCATCGAGATTTTTCTCTATTTGAGTATACGGAGATGCTGGACTCAAATTGTTACGCTTTGTTTACCCGTCTGATTATTGGCAATATTACTCGCCCTTCCCTCTTCCCCGTTTTGCGTTTTCTCTAGCTCTTCTTTTCTTTTATATTTCTCTTTGAGATTTATAAAATTGTTCCTTATCCGTGCATTTTTTACTTCCTGCCTATTACTTAAAAAAGTTTTAATTGTTTCCAATCGCGTCTCCATTAAAGACTTCCGTGAGGTTTCGTTTTCCTTGGCCTTCTGGTCTTCTGGTATCTCTTCGGTGACCAATTCGATCATCTTCCCCGTGTTCGGACATAGTTTTCTCCAGCAAACATTTTCTACGGTGGGGAGGATATCGCACTCTCTCAGACTGGAGGACTGGTAGCGATTGTAAGCGGGCATAGCAGGCGGGACAACAGGCGGAACGCATTTCTTCAACAAGAGGCTATCCCAGGAAATATCACGGAAGAACTCGTGGCGTTTCACTTTCGCCGATCCGCAGGTTCCGAGCCTCTCCGTCGTAACCGGATTTAGAATTTCCTTGAGGAACGTCCGAATCTCCGCGCTGAAAATCCGGACCGTCCTGAATTTCCCCAGGCTTATTTTCTCGTAGACTTTGGTTATCGAGGGGGAATCGAAAGGCGTCAGGCCGACGATCAGCTCGTAGAGCATGACACCCAATGCCCACCAGTCGACCTCTTTCCCGTATCCCTTTCCAGTGAGCATTTCGGGTGCGAAATACAACGGGTTGCCACAAACGGTGTAAGTCTTTTTCTTCAACTTCTTGCAAAATCCGAAATCAGTCAGCTTGACGAACCCATCGCTGGCTATAACAACATTCTCCGGTTTGACGTCCCTGTGAATCAGATCTAACGAATGGAGATATTCCAAAGCGAGGACGACTTGGGCGACGTAAAATTTCGCCGCATCTTCTGTGAAATGCCCAAACAGTTCGATGTAACGCAATAAATTCCCACCCGGGCAATACGGCGCAAAGGCTAAATAGAAGTTGTGGTTGTCTTGAAAGGAAAAAGCGAGGCTGGTTAAGAATTCGAATTTTATTACGCGAGACAATTCGTTTTCGTTGATGACGTTTTCCAGACGATTGGCATGAAAAACCCTGTTTTTAAAAAATACTTTCAAGGCGTAATAACTTTGCGTGGCCGGTCGGTAAGCTTGGTAGACGTTCCCGAAACAACCACCTCCTAGTTTCCTAATAAGGTGAAAACCGAGGATTATTTGTTGGTACCTTGCCGGATTTCGGTTCGTGGGCCGACACAGACAAGAGTGCTTGTTGAAAATGTTCGGGTTCAGATCTTTGGATTCGGACGGTTTCGAGTTCTTTACATTTTCACTGTACGAAAGAGCCTGAGACGGTTTTGCGTCGGTCTTGACATTATCACTGTACGTTGCTGGTTTTATGCTTGTTTGACCGCTGTTAGAAGTCGATGGTCTTCCGGACCAACAGGACCTCGAACCGCCTACGAAATATGAAATTTCCAACTTTCTCTTGGACGGCTTCGATGCGGGATTAGTAAGAGATCTGTACTTGTTAATCCGGTGACACGTCTTGCAGTGGTAGCAATTGTCATCAGCGCAGTTTCTTATTACATTGACCTGGCAGTCATCTAAGGATTTTTTCCTGAACCATTTGAAAAACCTTTCAAACTTGTCATATATGCTGGAATAAATAAGTTAAAACATTACATATAAGTTTTATCATTTTAACAATTTGTTTATAAGATACCTATAATTTACAATATTTTAATTCAAACGTTTTCAAACACAACACACATAAAATATGAAATCATTTTGTCATCATGTCGTTGTTGAGTTCAGTGTTCACTTTTTTCAAAATACCTTGTGAATTATATTTGTATTTAGGGAAATCTCTACCATAGGTATCACTACAATAAAAATGTACGAATAACAAAGTACAGTCGGTAAGTTGTAAGTACGGAAATAGTCCAACATCCTCTTTCTAAGTAAATTAATTTATTTTTACTGTCCTGAATTGGTACTGACATTGATTTAAATGAAAGTCTCGACTTAACTGCGCTGGATTTTTTCATATTCTGAAACTTTAATAGTCAGCGTTTTAAATTTTAAGGCAACTGAGAAAAAAAAACTCAAAATAAATTCGAACTCTTAAAAAAAGTATAAACATTAAAACACTGTCAAATTTAATATAGAAAAAACAACAACAACTGGTTAAGTGTATTATTCTGAACACATGGTAAATTCAATTACAGCCACGCAACTATGAACTCATGTGTTGAAAACAAAGACAGACGTTATGTATTTCTGACAAAATTTTCAAAACTACGATCCACAAATTGTTTAAAAACTCAAAAATGTATCATTAAGTTGTCGCGCTAAATTAAAACAAGTTTTTATGTACACATTTTATTGTATTGTCGGACCTCATAGAATTTCGCGGTTTGTGTTGATCGAACTTCTTTCTACAAAGAGAAGTGATTTTCGTGAGAAAAACTTTCTCCGCTAGCACTTTTCTCTGATGGGAAACAGCGATCAGGAGTCGAAATCGTTGAAATAATCGCCGAATTTATTTGTGGCAGCAATGTAAACAGGCTCTTCCTTGTCGAACGTGTTGAAGTAGGAGGTGTCGTTCGGATTCTTGAGGTACGGCCTGTACGGCGGTACGACATTTTTCGTTAAAATGTCCCTCCAGACAATTTCGTTGAAAAACGGATGATTTTTAATATCCTTGGCTCCTCGTTTGTAGTTGCCGATCCTTTTCGACGGCTGGCTCTGAAGGAGTCGGTTGATGAGATCTTGGAGGTCGACAGAGAAATGGCTGGGCATCGTGTACTCGCCTGTCTGTATCTGCGCATAAGTGGCTTCGACGTCGCTCTGGACAAAGGGCGTCAATCCATGGACTAGCTCAAACAACATCACCCCCATGGACCACCAGTCGACCGCTTTCCCGTAACCCTTCCCGGAAAGTAATTCTGGTGCCAAGTACTCCGGGGTGCCGCAGATGGTATACGTCCTTCCCAGTACTTGTTTGCAAAACCCGAAATCGGTCAGCTTGATGAAACCTTCGACGTCCAAGATGATGTTTTCCGGCTTCACGTCTCGGTGGACCAGATCCAGCGAATGCAAGTACTCCAGAGCCAGAACTAGTTGGCATATGTAAAACTTAGCCAGGGGCTCGGGGAACTTCATGAACCGTTTGAGGTGAAAGTACAGATCCCCTCCAGGCAGAAACGGCAGGACAAAATACAAGTAGCTGTTGTCCTGGAAAAACAATTTTAGCGGAGTTATGAATTCGAATCTCAAGGCGGACATGATATTTTTTTCGTTCAGCAAGTTTCTTATATGCTTTGAATCGTAGATTTTCTGCTTGGACATGATCTTTATCGCGTAGTATTTCCCCGTTCCTTTATGGTAGGCTTGCACCACCCTACCGTAAGTACCGTGCCCTATTGTCTTGATAAGATGAAATTCCGAGATGAGAGGAGTTTCTACTTTCCTTTGCCGACCCAATGATGGCGATCTAGTACTATTTCGACTCAGACTACCCGTGTTCCGGCGTCTGAAAATAAAATTTACATTTTCAGACATTATCTTTTGTTTGTTTTTTAACTATCTTTAAAAAGAAATGATTTTTTTTATTCTTAGACATGTTCTATTAGTTTCATGTTACCCTATAACGTACAACTTATTAACTATTGTGCTTGAACTTGCAGTTTGGGTTGTTTCCGATCATGACCAAACAGTGAAAATATGGAAACTACCAAACTAGAATATTAAAAAAAATGCTTAGAAATATAAACTGCAAATTTAATACCTTGAATAATATTTTAAATGCTATCCTGAACAATTTAAGACAAAACTAAAACCAAAACGGCTGTGGACGGATTAACAATCTTTTTACAGTACACAGCTTGAAAACCAGCTGGCAACTGTTTAATAAAGCAAGTCGTTTTAGTTTCAAACTCAACAATTCCACTTGACTGAACTTGACAAAACACTGAAGAGGAAACATTTTACTTAATTTCATATTTTAGTGGGGTGAAGAGAAAATAGCTCTGTTATTTCCTCGGTGGTATACTTTTTTTTTAATTAAAGCTTGAACTTGGTCGTCGAACTTCCCGCGAGCTATTTGCTTCCGAGGGAAAAATTTATCTGAACTTGACTTCACGCTGCTAATAAACAGTTCCTTTACCAACAGACAAAAATTAACTATTTAATTAATATTATTGACATTTTAGCATTTAAATACGTATATAAATATATGATGAATATTTATTTTAGTTAATTAAGGTTTTTAGTTGAGATAAAAGTCAGTGTCTCGAGCGGGATTCGAGCCCACGTCCTTCGGCTAGATACGCCGCTACTCTACCAATTGAGCTATCGTGACCTCGATCCATTTGTCCACTAACTTCTCATCATCTCATCATTTTCCCACCTTTTTGCCATTTTTCAAACGTCGTGTAATCTATTTGATTCTCGGCGACAAATGAAATGGTCACGGGGAGCTTTAGTGAAGATATACTTGATTTTAACATTAAATTCACTAATTTTCGTGGTCCGCTGGACCAATTAATATCTTTCAATTAAGGTTTTTAGTTGAGATAAAAAAAGCCAGTGTCATGAGAGGGATTCGAACCCACAACCTTCGGCTAGATACGCTGCTACTCTACCACTTGAACTATCGTGACTTCGATCCACTCAGACACTAACTTTTTTTCGGACATCTCATCTTCAATTTTGTTAGGTACGGATTTATCACCAAATCAGGTATTTTTATGAAATCGATTAAGGGAGCTTCCGCCATCCCTCTTTAGTCTTACTCTCTTGGTTTATTTGCTGACACATGGGATTTAGGTCTTGAAGAAAAACCTACTACAGATTAACCAGCCCGTAAAAGGAAAAAACCAAATAAATATAGGATAGTTTTAAGTTTTCGCATAGATAGCGCTCTCGATTACATACGAAAATTGGGTGATTCTAAATTTTTTATCCTCACAGACTGTCGAAGCATTGTAGAAAGGATAAATAACATTACCCCAGAATTTAAATGCAGAAACTATATTTTTGCCCAAATCTTTAGGAAAATGCTTGAGACAAAAATCATGGGAAAAAGGGTGGCATTGTGTTGGGTGAAAGGGCATGCAGGCAACATGAAACGGTGGACGCACTTCCAAAGAAGGCTGCAACATCAGGCCCAACCCTTGACATTAAAATCCCTAAAGATGACGGGAAAAACTTTTTGGAAAAGTTTTGTAGAAATCTGTGGCAAGAAAAATACAACGCATCAAATGTTGGCAATTGTTACAGGTCACTGTTCCCTGAGCTCAAGAAAAAAACATGGTTTTCGGAAGGCGATAGCCCAGAAGGAATGTCAAAGGAGTTCTATTCTACTATTTTTAGACTGAAGACAAATCATGGCCTACGGGGTAGCTACAAGAAGAGAATCGGTTTGGCATCGTCTCCGAACTGTCCCACTTGCGATTGCCCTTCAAATCCTTCCCACATAATTTTTTAATGTCCAGAATATGAAAATGAAAGAGACAAACTGCTAAAAAATCTGAGCAAAGTCCCAAACATTTCCAAACCAATAAACTTAGAATCTGTCCTAATAAGCAACAATCCATCAGCTTTCAACATAATCTATGGATTTTTAAAGTCGATAAACGTTTCTTTTTGATTATCTTCAACCATGAAAATTTAGAAGATGGTGGAGCTGAATGAGTGGTGCGGGCGCGCGGCGTGGACCTGGCCCTGGTCGGCCGATCACGCTCGACAGTAAAATGAAAATAGAAAACTTCATGGGTAATATGCCAGCGTAAACCCAAAAAAAAAAGTTTTCGCATAATTTATTTCTCCCAATATTTCATAATACATCATTTGATAGAAAGTTTAAACTTTTATAATTAAAAGATTTTTGGCGATAATATTCACTATTAGACATCTTTCGTAAATTTCATCGATTCTGCGTTAAAGCAGTAAAGCTAAAGCTTTTAAATTTGGGCATAATAGCATTTGTATAATTATTTCTCTAATCTCTTGGGTCATCTTAAAAACAAGGGGAAATAGTTAAATTATTGTATGGTTAGACTATTTGTTTTACTTTTGCTTTGAAGGTTTTTTTAACACTTTTATAAAGACAATCAAGATAATCAAAAATTTCCGCGTGTAATTAAATGGATAATGTGATTGTTCGGGGCTCTGCCAATAACGATATCCAAAAGTATGCAAACGCTGACGCCCGCTTTTTTCCACCCTCTTTGCAAAGAATCGGGAGATCTTATGAATATTCTTCACCTAATCTATTCAGGGTCGATAACGCGTCTCAAGTCCTACGAAGACAAATGAGAGAAGGACGTGCTATTTCGAAAACTCCAGGTAACAATGGGTGATTAATTTTATACGTAAACCAAGTTTAATCACCAGGATAATATATGGGCAATACAAAAAGAAAAACATTTTTGGTTATTAAAACCAACCTTTTCTCTTTAATAACTAATCCAAACTAACTTCGAAGAGTTTTATTTGTCCGAACTTTGCATATATCCGTAAATAATAGAGTTTATGATATTTAGTTTAAAAGTATGTTTAAACTCATGTGATTTATTACATAATTCTGACGCATTTTCTTTGAATATGACAACAGGTAGGTATTTCATAGTCTGTTTAAATTATTAGTGTTACTTAGGCTTATCACTAATATGTAATGACAGATCAAAATACATACATTTTTATTATGTAAATAACGAAAAAAAATTTAAGGAAAAAATAAAGGATAATCCTTTAAAAGCTTAACAAATTAACCTGATGATTCGACCAACTCGTTCTCTAGGCTGTGCGAACTTAAATTGATTTACTTACTCTACTTTATTCGGATCCGCCATGGTACGGCAATTTTGGTCTAATCATTTCTTCAATAAAAATTTCTTTTTTAAAATTGATAAAATTACAAACAAGCTAATAACAAATACGTAACATAACAATGCGCAAAATTAAAAATCATAAAAGTGTATTTTTTAAAAAGAAAAACAGTCATGTGTTCAATTTACATAATGTGAAATTGTTTCCTTTCGAAAATATAAAATTGTTAATAATATTCCTTTGGATTTCGGTTTTGTTGATCTAAATTTGCGTGGCGTCGTATTTTTGTCATGGCTCAACCTGTCCAGCGGGATCAGTTCGGAGGTTTGATCATTGTCATAAACGACTGGAAAGAATTTTTGGAAAAGTCCAAAATCAATTTTGAGAATAAACTGAGAACGAAGCAAGTGCCTGAGGTGGGCAAAGATGATTTCGAGACGATAAGGACGCTGGGTACAGGTTCGTTCGGTAGGGTATTGCTTGCGAGGAAAAAAAGTGACAATACTTTTTACGCGATAAAAGTTCTTGACAAAGCCAAAGTAATTAAACTGAGGCAAGTGGAACATTCGCTGAACGAAAAGCAGATTCTGCAAGCCATCTCGTTCCCGTTTACGGTATATTTGGAATACTTCTTCCAAGATTACAGCTACCTCTACTTCACGCTGCCCTTGATTCTGGGTGGTGAAATGTTCACGCATTTAAGGAGGTTCGGCAAATTCGAGGAGAACCATTCTAAATTTTACGCCGCTCAAGTCGTCCTCGGTCTTGAGTATTTGCACTACTTGGACTTGGTGTACAGAGATCTCAAACCTGAAAACATCCTGATCGACCACACCGGCTACTTGAAGATCACCGATTTCGGATTCTGCAAGCTGATCAAAGGCAGAACGTACACGTTGTGCGGCACCCCGGAATACCTCGCTCCTGAAATCATCCTGAGCAAAGGCTACGGGAAATCGGTGGACTGGTGGTCCCTCGGGGTCCTCATATACGAAATGGCCGCCGGCTACCCGCCGTTCTTCGCCAACGAGCCGATGAAGATCTACGAGAAGATAGTCGCCGGGAAATACAGGAACCCCAACGGTTTCAGCCCCGACCTCAAGGACATCGTCAGGAACATACTGCAGACAGACCTTTCCCGAAGATTCGGTAATCTGAAAGGAGGTGCCGACGACATCAAGGAGCACAGGTGGTTCAAGACCATCCAATGGCTCCCGCTCGTCAACAAAAAGCTCGATCCTCCATTCGTCCCCAAAGTCAAAAGTCCCGGTGACGCGAGTAACTTCGAAAAATACGACGAAGAACCACTCCAAGTCTCGGCTGTTGACAAATTCGAAAAGGAGTTTGCCGATTTCTAAATTACAATTAAACGAAATTGATGGTACGTGATAATTGTGAACGGGAAACAAATTTGAAATTGAACACCCTAAAATCACCCAAAAAAATGAATAAAATTACAGTTTCGATCACTTCATTATTGACTTACTTATTACTCGACTTAATATTTGATGAATTCTTGTATAACTTTAACATTAATTGTATAGTTATTTACAAACATACACCTTCAAAAAAAATTCTTTCCAGCTTTCTCGATCTTTTGTCATGTCGTGAATGAGTAATCACAAAATTCAAATACAACGCCTGTTACCAATCATACTACATGGTACTTATACAGAGATATTTGATGATACGAAATCATTTTTAATGGTGAATCTTTTCATTTTATTCGTTTGAATACATTAACAATCAATTTCTACAGTCATATTACTTAAAGTACATCAATCTTGTAACTACTAAATGAAGGACCTCAGTTTCATAAGTAATTGTTCCAAATCATTAAATCATAGAAAACCTGAGATCTAAAAATTAAATTGTCAGAAGTCACACACAACAGAAACACAGCACATATAATTAAATGCAATTTTATATTATAATATAATGGATTAGACTAAAAGTACTAATATGAAAAATTAGATTCAAATTAATGACTTTAACAAAAATAGGTCTTTCAAAAATCTTCATATGACTCAAATTTGACAAATGTTAAAAAACATCTGATTTTATAAAAAGAGGACTAGTGTCCATAATGTGTGCCATGATCAAAGTTTGAAAAACTTCAGATAATACAGAATGAACTCTTCAACTAAGAGTTCATTAACGTTTTAACAACCATACTGATCGATAATCTGCAAATAACTTATCACTTATGAATAATTTAACTCCAGCTGAGAAATGGGATTAGTCCACGATGGTATGGATTGATTTCAAAGATGTCTCTCACACAAGGATTCTGTTGAAATTGTTAGATGTATATACATGTTTTTTTCTTATGAATAATCGGATTTTCGGGGCGTCGGTGGCCGCAATGGTTTAGGCGTTGACACGGCTATCATCACTGTAAGGTAAAGGTCCCGGGTTCGAATCCAGCGGCCCTTCATTCGAACCCGACATACTTTTTTGTTCAAAAACACCGGCACCCCGAGTGTTGGTATAACCTCTGCTGTTATACATATCTGTATAACCCTCGATGGTCTGGATGTAAAAACTGCCAAGCTTTCGACTTATTTTAAGGATATCATCACGGCAAAAAAAAATCTTAAAGATGTCCACAGATTGGCATAATTAAGATTTTAAAACATGGTTTCAAATTTCTTGATTATTCGGAAATAGTGAGATACGGTCTGGTGTGATGTAGGTTTCAGAAAAACATTTTCTTTATCGTGCCAACGTTTCGATCTTTATTGAGATCATCTTCAGGGCCTGGGATTTACAATTTAATTTAATTAAAAAATATTTTTTGCATTGTATAAATTCACTTTTTTCCACATCCTACGTGTATTTGTTAAATTTCAACAATGTTTGGAAATCCCAGGCCCTGAAGATGTTCTCAACAAAGATCGAAACGTTGGCATGATAAAGAAAATGTTTTTCTAAAACCTACGTCACACCAGACCGCATCTCACGATTTCCGAATAATCATCGTCTGACGGTCACTATTCACGACACGTTTCAAATTTCTTTGAAAATAGGACTCAGCCCAACATTGCCAAAGACTGATGAAAAACATTATTCAAATTGGACCTCTCAGCGTTAAAATGCTGCAATTGCCATAAATGTGTGGTGATTAGTGACCGTTAATAGATAATTATTCAGAAATCGTGAGATGCGGTCTGGTGTGATGTAGGTTTCAGAAAAACATTTTCTTTATCGTGCTAACGTTTCGATCTTTATTGAGATCCTCTTCAGGGCCTGGGATTTACAAACATTGTTTACATTTCACAAATACATTTAGGATGTGAAAAGTGAATTTATACAATGCAAAATATATATTTTTTTTTATATTCATCATACCTATATCACACCAGACCACATCTCACGATTTCTGAATAATTGCCATAAAATTAATTAAGGTTTTTAGTTGAGATGAAAAAAAGCTAATGGCACGTGAGGGATTCGAACCCACGACCTTCGGCTAGATACGCCGCTGCTATGCCACCTGAGCTATCGTGACCTCGATCCACTCGGACATCAACTCCCCATCTCAACCCCACCTTATGAGTTTTCCCTCCTTTTGCCATTTTTCAAATGTCGTGTAATCGGTTTGGATTCTCGACAATTGAAATGGCGACGGAGAGCTTTAGTGAAGTGTACTTAATTTTAATTCATTAAATTCACTAATTTCGTGGTCAGCTTAACCAATTAATACTTTACAATTAATTAACGTTTTTAGTTGAGATGAAAAAAAGCTAATGGCACGAGAGGGATTCGAACCCACGACCTTCGGCTATATACGCCGCTGCTCTCGCCTCTATCTAATCTAGCCGAAGGTCGTGGGTTCGAATCCCTCTCGTGCCATTCGCTTTTTTTCATCTCAATTAAAAACCTTAAGTAATTGTAAAGTATTAATTGGTCAAGCAGACCACGAAATTAGTGAATTTAATTGCCATAAAGTTTTGTCTTTTTAAATGAACAATCTCCGTACATAATGTCAACTGACTACTCCACAACCTAAACTGAAAATAAATACATTTTCAGTAAACAACAATTTTTCTCTTTTAGTTGTTTTCCAATTGATCCATACGTTCTTCCGATTGATTAATCAAGTAAATGGACGAAGAAATAACTTGGATTGGACAATCTGCTATTTAATTAAACAGTGACGTTTGACCGGCTGATTGATTGATTGCTATTAATCAATTCCAGTGAGCCTGTTGATTTATCACCTTTTTAGTCATAAACAATAAATGGACGGTAATAAATTAACGTTAGCTATTATCCATTCATCGTACCTGGCGTTTATCTGTTTTGATAATTTATTCACTAAAAATAATTTAACAATAAATATTACCCGACCAATAATAAACTAAATAAGTTGATAGATCAATTAATGGATTAATGATAATATTTTTGCTTATTTTACATATTGACGATGGTACATCCTATATTGTGTCCATGTGCCCATTAAGGACAAATTGTCTTCAATTGTTCGACAGAATAATCATTATAATTAATCACTGTTTGATACGCCAAATAAATAAATCATCCGACCTAGTGACGGATTTTTCGTTTTTCATTAAATAAAAAAAATAAACAAATGAAATGATATATTAATTGCTTGATTGATTACCTTACTGAATGATTGACTGGCTAGCATAATGGTCAATAAGTGTTTGAATAAAACATTATATCATGGATTGATCATTTTAACTTTTTTTATTATTAACAAGTCGCTTATTGTTCAATCATCGTTATTATTAATTATTTCAATTAATTATTCTTTTTATGTAAGGTCTTGGTTGAGATGAAAAAGTTAGGGTCACGAGCGGACCTTCGGCAATCCCGCTCGTGACACTAACTTTTCATCTCAACCAAGACCTTACATAAAAAGAATAATTAATTGAAATATAGGTTTTGAGGATTAAAACTTGTGAAATTCAAAGGTATGAGAAGTGTCGAAGTAGATGACCGAGGGAGGAAGTTGAAGTAAGGCTAAGACTATCTAAGGATTACCTTATGGATTGGGCTCTTGGATGCGGAGGATATTGGAATATTTGATTGAACCTCACACTTCCAGTCCATAAGTCCACAAGGGTGTTACAAAGCAGGCTTTTAAGAGAGGAAGATAGAGCGTTTATCTGGAAGTCGTGAAAGAACCCTGCAACATATAACTGGTTGTCGTTTAACCAGTGTGAGGATCCGACGTAAGGCGTTTGTCAATATATAGTCCTAGGTACCGCACCTTGTTCCATTGAAGTGGACAGTAGGAGGGATCTTTTTGTAGAGAGTGAAGGTTAGGTGTCTGGATTTTTCTAGGATAATTTTTTTTCATCATGACTCCAGTAGTGTGAAGTGTTCCTGGAAGTTTCTAGTGGAAATGTTTGGATCGGAGTTACTCGAAAGGATCGCGGTACTGTCTGCAAATGTTAGGGTGGTGGATTGAGGATGGGATTGGAGGTCAGATGTGTACACTTGGTACGGGACTAGGGTCAGATGTACACAGGCAATTATAGGATAGTCTTGGGTAGACGCCGACCCACCAATGATTCGGAAGTGCGGGTCAGTGAGACAACTTCGAAGGATAAAGGTAGTTAGAGTGAAGACTGTCCTTGAGCAAGGAAGCAGAAGATATAGCTAAAAGCATCTTATCAAATAAAAAGTCTTATTTTAATAGAAAAGTGCTATGGTTAGAAATTATGGAAATAAATCCTTTCATAACAATTTGTAGCTTAACATATTAATAATCTAAATATTCATACAAAGAATAATGGAAGCCTCTGTCGGTGTAACAAGAATGGTCAATAGAAACAGATAATAATTTCTGACTGTCATCTCTGATGACACAGTAACTTTTTTCAACTCGTGTGAAAATCTATTAAGTCTGGTTTATCAGAGCTACACACAATAATATACATATGCATATTATGTATATTGGGATATAGCTAGCCCTAAACGTAAAGATGGTCAAAGGAACAATCTTTAGGTAACAGCTGTTCACTGTTGATAGTACGAGTCTATTGTTCCTGGTGGAAATCAGTTAACTTAGAATTGTAGAGGGAAGAGGAAAATGAATAAATTGCTAAATGTTGGTTCTTACTTAAAAATTTGCATATTACAACAACATCGTAATCAATGAAGTTCTACTGAGATGCGATTATTGCTAGTTGAAAACTTTAACCAATTAATTGAAAGAATTAATATTGTCAATTAGACCACTAAACATAAATAGGTTATTATTGGTGGGGTTGAAATGGGAAGTTAGTGGCCGAGTGGATCAAGGTCACGATAGCTCAAGAGGTAGAGCAGCGGCCTATCTAGCCGAAAATCGTGGGTTCGAATCCCGCTCGTGACACTGACTTTGTTATCTCAACTAAAAACCTTAATTAATTGAAAGATATTAATTGGTCAAGCAGACCACGAAAACTAGCGAAGTTATTATTAATCTAAAAGTTTACTGATTATATGAAGTATTGGTTACTTTTTCTTTAGTTTAATTGAGATAAATCGGTTGACTGATTGATTTTTTTACTGTTAAATCGACTTAATTATATTGATTGTTTATCTGTCCATGATTATTTTAAGTTATGTAACTATAAATTAATATCAAAAAACTGAACTGTTTCTCCTTTTCCCGTTGAATAAATCAACAGACTGATTGATCGACAGGACAAGCAGATTGATTTGCACGTCACAAATCATCATGATCTGCCGATTAACGTTCCATTCTTATATATGGATTATTTTTTATTATTTTTAAACGGTGCCTCGACTGATTGATTTATTGGTCATCTTAGCTATTTATTGAATGATTGATATCTCAGTGTCTTTTGAATTAACCCCTTTCCTTGAACTGTCTTACGGCTGATTGATCATTCTCCAGTTTCAATTCGTTCACCAAATCAACCTCACTATATTTTTGCTTATTGAATTTCCTCCATTAGATTTATTTTAATTTATTGTTTAATAATTGAGGTCAAGTAAGTGATTCGGTTTTTTAATAGGCCAGACTATTCAATAAAATGATTAATTGCGTCAAGCATAGTTTTAATTTATTGCATGACAATTTGTACATTAATATTGAATTATCATTGGTTTATTTTTTCTTCTGATTTATACTATTCTCCCAACAATTTTTGACTGATTTAGGTTTTGTCTATTAAAAGTATTTTCAAATGTATGATAATAAATAAACGACTATTTAACGAATAGATCGATTGATTCGCTCTAGCATAGATGATATATTTATGATAAAGTTGAATAACCTGTTAAATGATTTATTTTCTCAATCCTCCAACTTCTTGGTTTTTACACCTGATAAACCAACTGATTGATTTGCCCACTTTATTTGATTGATTTGTCTTTCTGTTTAACGAAAATATTCAAATTTGAAGATTTAATATTTAAACAACAATTAATAGATTGGTTGTTTAATTTTTCTACTAAATTCCACCAAATGAATAGTGGTAATTGATTTGTTCGATCATGTTAATTAACATCATTTCGGTTGATTGACTGAGTTGCTTACGAAATATATTGATTCATTAACTCTCACTATTTGTTTTTTGCTTAATAAGTCATAGGTTTAAATTTTATTGAATCAATTTTATATTTACATCCAATATGTTCAGTGGTCTATTGACCAAATTACTTCTTTCAATTAATTATTCTTTTTATATAAGGTCTTGGTTGAAATGAAAAAGCTAGTGTCACGAGTGGGATTCGAACCCATGACCTTCGGCTCAATACACCGCTGCTCTTACCACTTGAACTATCGTGACATTTATATTTACAGTGTAATAAGATTGATTTTTGACCACCATTGTTTATTTTTTTTGTTTCATTATCCCAACTAGCATAATTTGTGACTCGTCTAATGATCGATTTGTTCGTTTAAAAATTCGATGCAAAAATTCGAACACTTTGCCAATAGTAACAACTTTGCTTTTATCTTCAAGACCATACCTTGATCCAGATTGTCCGTGAGTTAAAAAAGTGGTCGATACTTCTAACACTGAAAAAGAAGTTAAACTCACCCTACATACAATACATAACTTTAACTGTTAAAAAGAAAATATTACGCAGGCGCCTCGCCCTCAATCACTCTACAAACAAATAATAATTAATCTACTTTGATGGATCTGTGGGGTAATCTATATTACACCTCAAACCCACTCAAACATTCACAACATATATTACTTCTTTCAATTAATTAATCTTTTTGGGTTAGGTTTTGGTCGAAATGAAAAAGCTAGTGCCACGAGGGGGATTCGAACCCACGACCTTCGGCTAAATACGCCGTTGCTCTACCACTTGAGCGATCGTGACCTCGATCCACTCGGACACCAACGCCCCATCCCAACCTACAACCTTCCGAATTTTCCCTCCTTTTTGCCAATTTTCTTTTTTGGTGTCCTAATTAATTGAATTTTTTATGTAAGGTTTTGGTTGAAATGAAAAAGGTAGTGTCACGAGCGGGATTCGAACACTCGGCCTTCGGCTAAATACGCCGCTGCTCTAACCACTTGAGCTATCGTGACTTCGAATCCCGCTCGTGACACTATCTTTTCGAAGTCTACAAGTATGTTACGTAAGGTTTTGGTCGAAATGAAAAAGGTAGTGTCACGAGCGGGATTCGAACACTCGGCCTTCGGCTAAATACGCCGCTGCTCTAACCACTTGAGCTATCGTGACTTCGAATCCCGCTCGTGACACTATCTTTTCGAAGTCACGGTAGTTCAAGTGGTTAGAGAAGCGACGTATTTAGCCGAAGTCGTGGGTTCGAATCCCGCTCGTGGCACTAGCTTTTTCATTTCGACCAAAACCTTACGTAACATACTTGTAGACTTACGGACTGGAAGTGTGAGTTTCAATCAAATATTTCAATATCCTCCGCATCCAAGAGCCCAATCCATAGGTAATCCTTAGATAGTCTTAGTCTTTTTATAAAGTTTTTTTTGTAAAAAGATGTATTGTAAAAAGAAATATCGTAGCAATTGATTAATCAATATTTGTTCTTTTATTAACATCATAATTTATCCATCGCATGTGCAATCCTGAATGTTAGTTCATGTTGAATTGATCACATGTGTTGAAAGTTATGATCATTTAATTATGATCGATAGATCATTTTCCTTGTAAGTTGGATTGGTTGGTAATACTAATATAAACATTTTACTGATTGTCTGAAATGAAACAGCAGTTCCCATGATATGACGTAACGTGACGTCCAGCAACGAGCCAGCATGTTGCTGAAAGGCTTAACCCACTTCCAACTGTTTGACATTTACACTTTCTCTAGGCTTGTGTTTACATTTTAGAATTTATGTACCTGTGTTTGTAGCCCTCGAGTCGTGTGTTAACCGAAAATTAATCGCTTTAAAATAAAACAAAAATAAACTAAAGTTTTCTTTTCATTTTAAAAACCGTGCGTAGGTGTAAGTGAGCACAGGCAGGATTCATTTTGTTTATTTTGTTTCGTAGATAATTAGGCATGAAGTTTCAAAACTTGAAGAAGCAAAAATTGTAATCGTTTCTGTTTTTTATAGACGTTGTTTTATTTGAGATATTGCTTTATTTTTATGATTTATTCGGCTTGGCTTGAGCTTCTCCCTCGTAGTGGAGTGCAGAGAGAAGTCTTACAATTATGTTTTAATTATTTTAACTTTTCAGTATGCAGAGGGGAAGCGAAGAAGAAGTCGAGGGTGATGTGGAAGACGATGAATTCATCGATGAGGTACTGATTAACAATCGTATTTTAGAATGTTTTTAAAATTTGTCTTTAATTCAATTATCTTTGATTATTTAAATTATTAATTTATTGCCTTTTTAATATAAACTGATGGACAAATTTAACACACCATTGAATCATTTTAGTTTAAAATTAGATCCATTATATTTCCACATTAGTTATACATAATTAGGAGCTCAAAATAAAGTAAAAAATCCATTGTTTACTTCCTTTATTTACTTTTATACTGATTAATCCACTTGCAAAAAAGTAGCCTTATGTCCTTCCATTCTGCTTTGCATAAAGATCGCTTTTAATTAATCTTTTTCCTTCGTTGATTTCATTTGATATTATTCTTATTCTTAAACCTTTTTCAATGGCTGCAGTCAGGCATTTGAGTAAAAATGACAGTGTCAGGGATCATAACATCATTAGAGGAAGGATACAGCCAGCACGAAGTCTACAGATGAGGGAGATGATAGATTTATCAAGCTCTTCAAAACCGCAGCAGTTTAGGAAATGAGATAAGAAATCTGATATGACATGATATGATATCTGAAATGTTTCGATTTCATCCAGGACTAAGAAGAAGCTCGATGAAAATAACCTCAGGGACCTGCACCTGGCTCGTGGACCTCTTCTTACCACTGCTCATAAAATGTCCAGGCTTCAATTCACATTGAATTGGACATTGGAAGATTGGGGAGAGTTCTCTTTACAGATGAGGTAGAATTGGCCTCAAATCTTCAAAAGGGCATAATTTCATATGGAGATGCTCAGGAGAAAGATTCACCTTGTGCTGTATGGATATGTCCTATGGTTTCTCAGGTGGCATTCCTTGGTGGGTCATTGATGTTCTGGGGTTGGTTGTTGTGCGAGCAATATCTCTAATCTCACAGAGGTACTTAAAGACATTTTCAAAAAACATGTAGTGTCATTTGCTCCATATCAGTAAGAGATTCTTGTTAATTCAAGATAATACCAGCTCTCATAGAGCACGTATTGTATATGACTGCCTGAATGCTTTTGTAATTGAGATCTTGGTGTGGCCAGCTCATAGTCCAGATTTGAACCCAATCGAACACATTTAGGATCAACTTAAGCGATGAATATGATGGCGAAACCCAGGTCTGAACATCCTAGAAGATTGGAACCGACTGTTCTTGATTAGTGAGAAAGGTTCCTCAGGATTTTACCAGAAACCTTTTCCAAGGAATGCACAGGCATTTAACAGAGTGATTTGCCCAGAGGTGGAAATTATCTGTATTAAAGGGGACAAAAAAATTGTTTTTCTTTTTTCTCATTCATTTTTGTAACCTATTTTTGGTGTGCAAAATATGCTAAATGCATTAAAAGTTAAGTGTGGTGCATTCATTTTGTCCATCAGTGTATTTGCTGTATGAAATATGTTATGTTTTTCCAATAATTTCCAGCTACTGAAACTTAATATGCATAAAAGTAAAATTTGTCATTAGTGCGATTATCTCATCTGTTGCTTATATCACCGTATCACTTGGCCAACCTATCTAGTTTAAATTGGTTTAAATTAGGCGTTTTACTTTTTTCTCTCTTTTTTTTAAACATATTTGCCATAAAAGAACATTCAGCGTACCCACTTAACTACTTTTTGTGTTGAGGAAGGTAAGGTTCCAAAAATAAAATAAACCAAAGAGATAGTATTAGCAAACATTTATTGTTACTCTGGTCCATGTTAATATTGTAATGACAAAACAAAAGTCAAACAATCAAGGCATGTCAGCGACAATTATATCTCTGTAGATGAGCTTGTTTACAAGAGGACTTACCTCAAGCAATTCTCACAAACACCAGCTCCCACCATACTTTGGGGTCTTCCAGAACCTTCTTTCTGCTGCTTCCTGGATCCTTGACAGTCGACTATTTGACTGTTCACAATGGCTTGACTGCTCTTCACTGTGTGAGCCACCAAGTGTCTGAGTCCTCGTTGTCTGACTTCGCTTTCAAATCATCCCCTTTTGATTTACAAACTAGAGTAGGGGTAGAAAGGAAAAGCAAAAACTGCTGGACCAAGTGGTCAACTTCCTTCTAGCAAGGGTTAGCCACACAATAAGTCTCATGAGTTCCCATTGCACATCCTCCTGGTCTCATGCTGATGGAGTTCCAGCAGTGTACAACGCCCACTCAGCTGACATGATCAGGTGGATGAACTGTGACTGCAATGTCCTTCTCACTACAAAAACTCCTCGACTTTCGTTATTTAGTGGACTCTAGGTGGCCGATCCGTCATATTTACAGCCTTATTCCAACATATGTTTGACATTCCTTACAACTTTTTTTAACTTATATTAATAACTATTCTAAACTTATGCTAAGTTACTTACATTACTTTTTCCTACAATTTGCTGTTACTGAAACTTAATATGAATAAAAGTAAAATTTATCTGTGTGGTCTACCTGAACACCAACGGGTGTCTGTCTATCAGTTTGGCAAACTTAACGATCTGTTATAGTTGAAAAAATACATTTTATCGTATTTTTAAATATTATGTATAAAAATAATGTCTATATTTGCTGCTAGTGCAACTTAATCTGATTAAATAGTAAAATTTGTCTAAAGCATGGTTATCCCTCTTCACCACCATCTGCCTCCGTTTATCCGGACTTGAAGAGACCTGGACTTGCCCAGATGATCGAAAGTTTAAAAATTTGTAATTTTATTAGGATTGTGTCATAAAAACGGACTTTTAAAAAAACACGAAAGTGTACACTTTTATTCATATATCTTATATTATATTTAAGTTATATTTAAAGTAATAGATAGTCTTTTATTGACTTTTGTCCGGACACGCATTTCGCAAAAAATTTATGCGTTAAAAAACCTTTTTGATGGAAGCCAACACGACAGCAATTTCTAGTTTTTTAATTAATTTATTTTTTATTTATTTATTTAATTTTTTTTTAACAAAAACGTGACTGTCAGCCTCTCTAGCCTCTTCGATCATGTGAATAGTGATTTGGCGGCCTTTGCGAATTTCGAATGACGAATTAAAGGTGCCACAGTTGAATTATAAATTTTTAAAAATTAATATACAACATTGAGAATCATGAAAAATTTATAAAAAATATTTTAACAAACGGGTCTGGATAAACAGGTTTCTGCTGTATATATGTGTTACTTGTATTAAATGTATCTGTAAATGACTTGTGCAACTATGTGCATGAACAATATTCAATTTTTATACATATGAAATTTTCATTAACCCAGCCTTGCCCTTACAATTCATTTTCAATTTGTTTCCTGTACATGTGTTAAAACTTGTTTCCTTGTTTTGGTTTAATAAATAAAAGCAGGAATTTGAGGAAGGTGAGGATAGAAGAGCCAAAGGGAATGTCGTCGGGCGGACGGTTACACTGCAAATGCTACTTTCGACCGATATTCTTCAACCCGGTGAAGCCAACATGTCGATCGAGTACATGGTACGTCCTATCATGTACAATAGTAATAACATCTTTTCTATTATTTTTATTACATAGGGCCAACGATTTATTGGCGATCTCCTGTCTGATGGGAAAATTAAATCTCTAGAGACTGATATAATATTTGCCAGCCCGAGCGCCTGGGCATGCCATTGCAAACGAATGGTCAATCCTGATAAAAAGTCAGGTTGTGGCTGGGCATCAGTAAGTATTTGTACTTATTATTTCAATTGAGCTTCTCTTTAAAACATGTTTTAAACAGGTGAAGTACCAAGGGCAGAAGTTGGATTTTTTCAAGAACAAATATTTTAAACAGTTACAAAAAATGGAGCAGAAAGAAAATGAAGTCACAGATGGTAAAGTTTTCTTACTTTTTCTTAGACATTTTCTAAATGTACACTTTCTTTAAGAAGATGAAGTAGGAGAACACTTAAAACCCTCAGTCGCCACCGAAACATCCGGTCCGACTGTACGAGTAGTCATTAAACATTCCTCCCTTGCAAATCGTACTGTTATGCAGTAAGTAAAATCTATTTAAAAAAATAAAAAGTAAATTTTCAATTAATTTTTTTGTTGTACAGAGATGTCAATACTCTGGTAGAAGCTGTGCCATTTTCCTCGATGGGCAAAATCCAGCCATTTTTAGTTTCTCTGTCAACAAACGCAGCTCTTGTGATAGATTTCCATTGTCATCTCACGACTTCTGAGGTTGTCGGATATCTGGCTGGGCATTGGGATGTTAACGCTCATAGTAAGTCAAACTATACATTTTTGCTCTGTTTTTAGTCTATGTGTACTGTTCAAATGTATAGATCTGGCCATAACCCATGCCTTTCCTTGTCGGAGCCGACTCAATGACAGGGAGCTTGGGCCACTCGTTGAAGAAGACATCTGCAGGGGCCTAGAGGCAAGGCGGTTGTCTCTTGTCGGTTGGTACCATTCACATCCGAATGCCCCTGCTGCTCCGACCCTCCGTGACATTGACGCTCAGCTCGAGTATGAGATGAAGATGAAAGGAAGCAGCGATGCGACGTACACACCTGTAGTAGGGATAATATGCTGTCAGTTTTATTTTCACCATTATACGATTTATAGAATTTAAATTTAATTATTCCAACTTTTACAACAGCCCCTTATCATCAAGAATGTACAAGTTTTGAGTCAGGTCTATTAAGCTATTGGGTCATCCCGCCTCCAGAAAGTAAACCGCATGATTATGGAAAGCCAATGGCAATGACATACAGTGTTATTCAAGATCAGTTTCTTTCACAAGACGCTCTTAATGAAATGGTACCTTTTTTGTTTATTTAAATTTTTTTAGGATTGATTAATTATGCTATTTTCCTGTTATAGAAAAAGTGTGCTGAGTTTTATAAAGGTGACCAAGATTTTATAAACTTCAATGATAAGTTTAAAGGCAATGTTACTTATTTGGAAAAGCTCAAGGTGAATAATTTAACATATTTCTTTTCTCTTTTTTTTTTTTTTTTTTTTTTTTTTTTTTTTTTTTTTTTTTTTTCAATCTCTCGCTCTTCTTTATTTACACCTGCATCAGTTGTTGCACTTAAGTAAATTTGATAGCATTTTACAGCCTAAAACAAAACAAAATGGGGAAAAAATACATAAAACAGAAAAGAAAGAGGAACTTAGAACTCATTTGTAGTTTTCCTATAAATTAGCATTAATCACTTTCACTTTTATTCACAGTCAGTTAGGAGGTCGCGAGACCATTGACACATTTCAGCCATCGGGGAGGATTATTTGGAAGGTTGTGGGATGAAAGGTTTCTGACATGAGGGTTTGTGTAACTGGATAATTGTTTGAGAAACTTCTTGTAGCGGTTTTTCACTACTTGAAGGGCATATTGGATATTAAGGTCATTCTGAATGGTAAGATTGGATACATAGAAAGGAGCATTGATGAGTTTCAAAGGATTTTTGGTTGTAGGGATTGGATACTTTGAATGTTGGAACGTTTTGTTGAACCCCAAAGTTCGATGTTGTATGTCGAAATGGGTCTCAAAATAGTTATATAGATGAGTCATTTATTTTGTAGTCAGTTTTGACCATTTAACAAGAAATCTTTTGAAAAGTGAATCGTCTGTTTAGCTCTTGTCTTTTGAGTCGCTTGTGAGGGTTCCATGTAAGTCGTTTACCAATAGTCCTAGGTAGCGCAGACTACATTAGCTGGTGGGTCATGGGATGACTTATTTCAAATCAATTTTACTCAAATTTAATGCTTAAAGATTTTCAGGAAAACATTATTACTGACATTAATTATAGAATTTAATACTTTCAGGCATCTCTGAGTTCGAAATTCCCTAGGGACCAGAGCGACGGTCTCCTCTGGAGTCTTTTATCTGACTTGGTCTGTCCAAATTCTAGTGGAAACCCACCACTGCCATTCATACCACCATCGACATCGACTGCTATGCCTATAACTGTGCCTAAGGCTGTAGGCGGAGCTCCGACTACCTCGGGTGTGAATATGGGCTCACCGTCCGGCTACTTGGCAGCAGACATCGCATCGGCGCTATTCGCGACTGGAAAATTCCCAGCAGCCCTTGTCAACTTGTTTCCACCGTTTGGGCCGATGCCACCACACCATTTGCTCCACATGGCGCAACAAAGACCAGGAACCCACCGTCAACAAGATTAATTCATTCTACATAAATTTTAATTGGTATTTTATATTCTATTTCAATGTTAGACCAATACTAAAAACTATATACTTTTAATGTTAAAAATTAATTGCACAACAAAAATTATTTTAGTTGCATATTTGAAGTAACATTTAATCTGATTTGTTTAGAATTAAATTACCATTATTTATTTATGTTGTGCAAGGTGAGGATATTTCAAATATTTATTAGAAATTGATACTGAGTGTGGGTCTACGAGTAGGTGAACCCATGCTGAACTGGCACTAGGTCACTTATTGGGTACATCTCAACTCACAGGTTTGTTTATCACTGAAGATGGCATAATATTGAATCGTGTCTGAGCGTTCAATGGACCCAATAAGTAACAGAGTGCCAGTTCAGCATGATTTGTTAAAAAGCTGATGCAAAATGGTCCAAACAATAGCACAGTTTTGTCCTTAATTTGTTTCCTATTGAAATGTCTATTAAAAGATTCTTTTGATGTTAAGAAATCAAACGTTTGTATGTTGAAAGTGTGTCCATTCCAACCTTTGATCTTTATGTATCTATTGGCCGTTTTTAAAACTCGGATGGTTTTAATATTTATAAATATTTTTTTTTACATTTTGATTTATTTGTAATGTTTCATGTATTTATATTATTTTAGTGTTAGTTAAATATAAATTAATTTAAATTGAATTATTGATTAGTGATTTATATTAGATCAACTTTGCATAAATAATGAATTGAACTTACAACTTCTTCCTACCTCGGGTTTTGGTGATGGGTTCAGCATTGGTGTTATCTATCCCACAGCTCAAGTTAGGATCTAGGAGCAATCAACAGCTAGATCATTTCAGCTCTCAACGCATGCAGTTTTTAAATCTAAACCCACTCAAGGGGTGTCGGTGGCTGCAACGGTTTAGGCGTTGTCCCAGCGCTCATCACTATAAGGTGAAGGTCCCAGGTTCAAATCCAGGGGACTTACATTTTTTTTTTCAAAAACACCGGCACCGTGAGGATTGATATGACCTCTGCTGTTGCGAACCCTCATTGGGAAAAAAACTCAAATACATTCTTTCCTACTTACATATTATTCATTCAGGGCGATGGAGTAACTGAGATTCCTTCACCACCCTTTACACCTGTTATAAGTAAACTAATTGACTTCCAAGACACACTAGTAACAAAAAACTGTATACAAAAAACAGTCCTGTTTCCTCACATCATAACAGTGGACCCAAATACTTGCTGTCATGCAAACTTTAGCCCAAAAGTTTTGGGGGGACAGCAGCAGCCGAGTGGTTAAGGCGTCAGACTCTCAGCCCACTGTCATGGGTTCGATTACCGCCTTTGCTTCTGTCCTTTTTTTCAAGTGCTTAAAGAGACTGGTGGCCTAATGAAAAACATCGTTGGATGGTATGGGGCAGGATCAGACCATGAATTTGGTTTGAATGAGTGAAAATGAGTTTCTTCAATGTAAGAATACCAGAGGCTCAATTCACACACGTTGCATGCCCAAAAATGGGCCACAAAGGAGCACAATAAGAGCTGCAGAGCTCAAGAGGGGGCCTTCCAGGTATGCACCACAATAAAAAATAAATTTAAAAAACTGTTGGTGTGTCAACCTCACATGGCCTATTCTTAGTAAGGTGAGTATGATCTTTCTTTTCACATCCCCTAAAGGCTACCTATTGACTGAGCACTCGATACTTGAGAGTAATTTGATGTGTGATTAGAATTGTTTTTATAAATGTATTAATTCTTGTTTTTTACAAATAGTGAACACTGAACTAAACATTCTAAACTGCAACTGTTAAATCACAACAGTTCGGAACAAAGAAAATGCAGCAAATGACATGCTTAGCAACAACAAGCATCTCCCTTCTTTTGTTATTTTGCCTTGACATTTATATCTTCACTATCACTACACGCTCCCATTATATCCTGAATCTGAATAGTTTTGATAGTTCCATAAAAATTTTAGCTTCAAACTACTAACATTTAATGTTAATGTGAACATAAAACATAAATGTTCCTAATGTGTGCATATGTAAAGTTACAAAACAATCTGGTGGTTTGTTTGCTTTTTTACATAAACCATAAATGATGATTATGTATTGTACAATCTTAATCAAATTATTTATTAGACAAAAATGCATACTTTTATACAAATAAAATATGTGCTTCATTTTGTAGAAAAATATACAATATTTACATATATACAGGTTAACAATTAAAAAACACTAAGTGAAAATTTTTGTCTAAAAAGCTCCAAGTTCAGCTCTTGTTTTTCCAATGACTTTAGGCATCTTCATGTTTGTTGAGTCTTCGAGTTCTTTTTGTTTGTAATAATGCGGTGCTACTTCCAACAACCACTTGCTTTCTATCTCAGTCACCTGCCTCATGTATTCTTTAGTAGTGAAGACTAACTCGTAGTAGACGACCCATCGTGGTAAGTCTTCGAACAAAGCCGAATTCGGATGGATCATGACTGTTTGGTTGTGCTTGACCGTTTTATAATTTCCTCCCTTCGACAGCCGAGCGATGTGGTAGAAATAACCTGCCGTTATTGACTTTCTAATCGCGATCGTATCAGTCGGATTAGAGACGAGGTCCATTTCGACCCTTTGCATAAGCCCTATAAGCTGCTCTCTGACATCCCTGGCTCTTTTCATCGATCTGTACTGTATATAATTCTCGTAACACCACTGAGTGCTGAAATCCGTATCTGCCCATTGCTTGTAAACATTGCAAAGAACGAGATGGTCACCACCTGGTAGGAAGAAGTTCTTTCTGGCTGTATCGGCATGAACCAGTTTGTCCTTCGGTCTGTAAAAGATGGCACCATTGACTGACAGCATAGCTGCAATGCTAACAATCTCCTCACTGCATTTATACCTAAACAAAACAATAATTAATTCCACTTTAATAATCAATTAATAATATTTCATACTTTTCTGATGCAAGTAACATTTTCCCCATCATTGGATCCAATGGGAATTCAGCCATTCTCCTCCCTAGTTTTGTAAGTTCTCCATGGTGGTTTAAAGCACCCAACGCGTAAAGTTGTTCCAATGCAAGCACCTGAAAATAAATTTCCATCAATTTGACCAATGCACCTTTAAGAGATTAAATACTTACCAGCGTTTCATGAGGTGGTGGATCGAGGAAGTCAAAGTGAACCAAATCATTGATTCCGAGGGCTTTGAGCATCAAAACAACATTGCCGAGATTCATCCTCTGAATTTCAGGTACGGTGTCGTCTTCCAGTTCATGTTTATAAGCCCATGCTGTGTAAAGTCGGAAACATTTACCCGCAGCAACTCTTCCAGCTCTTCCTGCCCTTTGATTTGCCGATGCCTAAAATTTTGCACTATTCAATAGATCAATGATCAAAGATCAAATATTGATCAGAATTATATATTGGTGATGAGTAAATCATTGAAATAAATCTGGTAAAAGTTAACATTTTTTTCTCCTAAATAAATTGTTTATACTACGAAATTACTTACTTTTGAAACAGGCACTACAATAAGAGATTCCATTCCAGTTCTAGAATTAAAATTATTTTGCTTACAAAAGCCAGGATCAATAACATAGATTATATTGTCAATAGTTAATGAAGTTTCTGCAATATTGGTTGCTAATACTACCTAAAATTTAAAAAAAAAAAATATTAATAGAAATTAGATATTACTGTACTTGAATAAATTAACGCATACTTTTCTTGCATTGGGAGGAGTTGGTTCAAAAATTTTGGCCTGCATGTCTGAAGGTAAGTTTGAGTAGACAGGTAAGATAAGAAGTTCTTTTATCCTGCTGCCCAGCCTCCTCACCCTGTCTTGAAGGATTTCCTGGCAGGTTTCGATTTCCTCCTGGCCAGTCAAAAACACCAATATGTCACCAAGAGGTTGAGTGGCATGGATCTGAAGTATGGAAACTACACAGGCGTCGATGTAGTCCGCCTCCGGGGCTTTTGTGTAGTATATGTCGACCGGAAACCGCCTTCCAGGTATTCTGAAAATTGGCGCGTCGTCGAAAAAGGATGAAAACTTTTCGGCATCGAGGGTGGCGGAGGAGATGAGCAGCTTGAGGTCAGGCCTGAACCTGGCAATGTCTTTGACCAGGCCAAATAATATGTCAGTGTGAAGTGTCCTTTCATGCGCCTCGTCGATTATCATTACACTAAAATCAAAGAACGTTTTACTCATTGATATTATATATTAAAAAAAAATTATACCTGTAAGTCTGAAGGTCAGGTTCAGACAGAAATTCTCTGTGGAGGGTACCATCAGTCATATACTTAATTATTGTTCTTTCTGAAGTACAATCTTCAAATCGAATGCTATACCCAACCTAAAACCCCAAAGGTTCGATATTAAATTATACTGTTATAATTATAACCTTTAGAAAATGTTTTAATGTTCTTATTTTTTTTAAATTCTTACCTCGTTTCCAAGTTTAACTGACATTTCTTCAGCAACTCTAGCCGCAACTGACATAGCCGCCACTCTTCTAGGCTGAGTGCAGCCTATTTTTTTCCCTTCATCAGTGAACCCGGCTTGATAAAGGTATTGAGGAATCTGAGTTGTTTTTCCCGACCCTGTTTCTCCTTCTACGATTAAAACCTGGTGATCCTTGATTGCTTGGATCAGGTCGTCCCTGAACTTGTACACAGGCAGACTTTTCTGGGTTTCCTCGATGGTCATGCGCTTGATCTGCGCTTCTGTCACTTTCTCTTCTGGCTTTAATAAAATATGAAATAATATTAAAAAAACAAAAGTTCGAGACATCTTTAGTTTACCTTATCTTTCGTTCCTGGTAAGCTCAAAGCTTGAATGAATTCAATTTGCCCATCAAGCAAAAGGTCATATTCTTCTTGTTTATCACTGTCCTTTTGCTTTGCACCAAAATGGAACATGGCAGAAGACATCTGCTCTTCTTCCCACTTTTTCTGCTCATAATTAGGCTTTTTTTCCCTTTCATCCACCTCTTCATATTCACCAACACCCTAAAACATTAGATTATAGATTATAATTGAAAGTAATTGTTTTAGAAAACAGTTAAAAATACTTCTTTAACATCTCTGGGCATATGGTATCTCTGCACCCTCTCTAATTCCCTCGCTTTTTCATGTTCCTTGGCAAGAGACAGCAGTTTCTTTTTATGCTCTCTGTCTTTCTTTTCTTTTTCTGTAAGTCTATAAAACCGAGTATTTATAATAAAATCAGTAAGATAAATTTTTTAAAAATATGTATACAGATTTATTAACAAAACACGTACTCTTCTTCAGCAAAAAGATATTCATCATCGATAATATCCGCTTCGAGCTCAAGGACCTTGTCGTCCTTTCTTTTCTCAAGGTATTTACGACGGGACTCGACACGAAGCCTTGGGATGAGTTTGTCCTGACTGGCAGTCTCAATTTTAAGCCTCTTTGCAGCTTCTTCATATGCCTTTTTATCTAGATAAAATTTAAAAAATTTTAAACCAACGTTACAATGCTTTTGAAATAATGACCAAAAATAAAATGAAGAACAATGGAATACCTGATCGAACAGTGATGTTCCTTGTGTTTTCCTTATCCTTCTTACGCAATCTTGCTGCAAACTCATCCCTCGCTTTCCTGTCTTCCTCGCTGTCGCTGCTATCTGACATTCTGAATTTAAACAAAAGATAAAATCTTAATTTAATCTCTAGAAAAGCAAATGAGAATCAATCTGAACTAGATTTGGGCATAAACACAGGAATAAACTCGACATTCCTCTTAATTTTAATTAATTATACTTTTTATCTATGGCCTTGGTTGAGATGAAAAGTTAGAGTCACGAGTGGGATTCAAACCCTACAGCTAATATGCCACTGTTCTAGCCACTTGAGCTATCATGATTTCGATCCGCTCAGACACCAACTCATCTCAACCTACAACCCGTCAAATTTTTCCTCTTTTCAAACATCGTGTAATCAGGATTCAATTATGAAGTGGCCACGGGGAGCTGTTAGTGAAGTAAGTGCTACTATAATTATTATGTTTATCCATATATGCATTTAGCAGTTATAATATACCTTATTAATTATTTTAATTAATTGTATTTTTTATCTGAGGTCTTGGTTGAGATGAAAAAGCCGAAGGTCATGAGAGCAAATCCCACGTGTGTCACTAACTTTTTCATTTCAACCAAGACCTTAGATAAAAGTATGATTAATTAAAATAATTAATACAGCCAACTGTGACTACTAAACGTATATGGATTAATTCCTTTTAATATAATAAATAAGTAAATTCTATTTAAAAAAAAGGACGTAAATCTACACTTCATAAGAGGAAAATTGTAGATATACAATTTTAAAATTTAAATGTTGGACTCAGATGAGAGAAAATTTTAGACCAATATCTATGTTACTGACTTAATAATATAAGCTACATACACTCAAAGACAAATAAAACCAGACACTCAAACATCACATAACATCAAATCTCATAACAACTTAAAGATAAAATGCATCTGTTAGAAGAAAGCTGTTTTACTGATTTCTGATTTACATGAGCTCAAATCTGCACAGGCATGTAATATATACACACATGCACAGCAAGCGTACCACTTCTTGCAGTCCACTGGCAATTTATTTATTTTTATTTATTTATACATTATACCCCAATATCAAATAAATACATATCATAAATATAATACATCATCAAATATATATATATATATATATATATATATTTTTTTTTTTTTAGTTAATATTTATTTATTCATTTTCCGGAGTTCTAATATTTTAGGCCTGAAAACATCCAGAGATTCAGAAAAAATGTCAGTCCTCGAAGACACAGTAACAAGAAGGAAATGTACTTTTTTTTGTCTTTTTAAACTGTATTGAACAAAGAACATTACAGTCGTGATAGTATACTAAATAAAAAATATGACTTAATGAAGACAAATGCCCAGGGGTGTTCCTCACTTAATAATAAGAGTATTAATAAATTTGGTAACAATAATTTGCAATAATTTTAACAGTAATAGATATGAGTTTAGGATCGTACAAGGTCAGAAAGTCTCTTCCTTTTTAATCGTCTTTATGATCTTGGAGTTGGTTCTCTGGGGTGCACCGTGATGGACAATGTAGTCAACATGAAAATACAGACAAGCCAAAAGAGTCCGATAGTAGTCAATATGAAAGAGCTCTGGGGTTACATTGAGGCATGCCTGAAGATGGATGAATCTATCATCTCTCTCTCTAGTCTGTAGACCTAGGTCGACCATGTCCTGGCGTTCTAGAGTGATGCCCTGTTTCTCTGAAACTTTGAAGAACCCTTTCTATTGTACTGTGAGTTAATCTCAGTTTCCTGGCAACTTCTCGCTGGCTGAGTCCTTCCTCTAACACTGTTATGACCCTGATACTATCATACGTACTCAAATGCTTGACTGGAGCATTGAAAAAGGTTTAAGAATAAGAATAATATCAAATGAAATCAACAAAGGTAAAAGATTAACTGAAAGCAATCTTTAGGCATAGCAGAATGGAAGGACATAAGGCTACTTTTTGTGCAAATGGGATGAACCAGTTCAAAAGTAAACAAAGCGTTATTTGCTGTTTATTTGGACTGTGATAGCTCCTAATTACCAGCAACTAATATAGAAAGATAATGGAATTAATTTTAAACTAAATAAATTTGTTCATCATTGTATATATAGAAAGATTGACGAAAGATACATGCTAAAAAAAAATCAGCTGAACAGCATTAACAAATTTCCATAACTTCTTGGGATTAGCTGTTAAATCACTTTGAACACTGGAAAGTTTGGAACTTGTAAGCAAATAATTAAACTAATTGGACATATATGTTGTTTGCTCGTAATTTAGAACGTATAATTGATTAAAAAGATTTTAAAACTGCCAAAATTTGTGTTGGAATTTATATGACAATTTTATTTTAGGTTTTTTTGTAATTAAGGTTCTGACGAGGGTTAACAATCTTTTTATGTATAATAAATATATTAAAAAGGGAAATTAGCTGTTGTATTACTTTTAAATTAAAATTATATAAATTAACATATAACTAAAACATTTTTCAAGCTAATTTTTAGTTTTATTTACTCACTTTATTATATTTGCTGTATAATTTGTTGATACACTTCGGCTTCAAACACAACGGATAACCATACAATAACCTATAAAAGAGTAAAGACGTGTTTTTTCAATTAATATATCGATTAATCGATCGACTTGTAAACAAATTCGTAGGTTGTTTTACTGTTATCTCTTCTTCTCGAGTCTTGTGTTCACAGGTATGTTAATACAAATATAATTTCATTTAATACCTAAAATTATATGCAAACTTCTTTTTAGTAATGTAGTCAGCACTTTCTCCTACCCGTAAGAGATTCATAATCACTTTAGTTATAAGACAGTTATGTATTCCTAGTTTAGATTCCACTGAATGAATATCACTATAGGCTAAATCTGAGTGAAACCCTTAAAATAAAGTTTTTAAAAGACGAACGACAAGAAGTTATATAATGGTATAAATTTTTATTGCAGAAGGATGAGCGGGCGCAGCAAGCTTTCCGGCTATGTACGGAGAGGCGGATACATCACCGAGGACAGGGTGCCACTCCAGATCCTGATGCCGCTCAAGTTGAAGCAGTCCGTGTCTGGGAAATCGGCCAGTGACTCTGGCGTCGCCTGCATTCAGGAAATGTCCGTCATGTTCGCCTGCTTGAAGAGTAACAACTTCTCAGAGAGTCGTTGCCCCAAGGAGATCGCCTCGTTTCAAAAGTGCTGTACAGAAAACGCCCAGGCCAAAAAGCACAGGAAGGAAATGGAAAGAAAAGGAATTCTCAATCCCGGCGAGAAGAACCTGTCGCATAAGCAAGTGGGACAGCTTCTGAAGAAGTTCCCCTAGTGAAGAATATTTTTTCAAGATTGTAGATTGTATATATAGCTAGTATACTTTTTTAATTTAATTTTTCATAAATGCCTGTCCATTTATCTACACCCTGGTTTAAATTCTTTGTCAAACACTGATATCTATTACCTTTTCGACTTCGCAAATCTTCATTCATTAAAAATTGATATAATAGATAGATAGATAAATTATTTTATTGTCCTAGACATACATGTATGTAGGCCTTAAGTGCTCAAATACAGTGGATCAGGTGTTTTTTGTACAAGCCCAAAACATGAGCAATTAAACTTGTTAGGGTAGTACACTAAGATCTTTCAAGCTTAAATACACGCCATCAACACTTGTGCTTTACAGAATCTTAAAAGAGATTGACAGGCATTAAAAATCTGCAGAAGATTGGATTGCTTAGCAACTACTAAGGCATTAGCATGTAAAAACTAGTCAGTGAATGCATTCGAAATCTCAAAAATGTAGGGAAACACAACAGCCTGATGATATATTGGGTGCCAGGACACAAAGAAATTTTGGGTAACGAAAAAGCAGACACACTGGCCAGAGGAAGATCTGCAAGACCATACATAGGCCTTAAACCTATACTTGGGATAACAAAAACAAATACAAAATCCTCCATCACAGAATGGATCCAAATACACCTCTCACAACTCCAGGGGCACTAGACACAGTAAACGTTTGCTAAAACAACCTTCACCAAGACTAGCAAACTCGGCTATAATTAGAGAGGGCTAAACTAAGAGGAGTGGCAGGTGAGCAAAGTCAAGCCTTGATGAATATATTTTGTCGGATAGAAGCTGTCTTCTATAGCCATCCGTTATATGTAATACCCTCTATCGACAGTGATGATACAGCTTACTTAAGCCCTGACCATTTTTTATATATATGACACTTCTTTCCTCTCCAGAACAAGTTGAGTAATGAACTACAATGAGTAATTTATTTAATTAATTCATTTTTCTTCAATTTGAATTTCTGTTGTTTACATGTATATTAGACTTCCTTTCTTTGCTTTCAAGGTTTTTTTTTTTTTAATTTATTTTGTCAGATTTTCCTGGATTTTAACTTATAGAAGTTCGATCATTTTATTGTTTAATTAAATTTAATAAAATTTGGTGGGCGGAACGTTTAAGCCAACTATCTAGAGGATTAAGTTGTTTTATTTAAGATAAAGATAATCTCTACCCTGCTCCGACATTGCCTTTTAAAAATGTATTAATTTTATCTTGTGCTGCTCTTGTTCAGTTGCACTCCCCTTACAATTTGTTGCTTAATGTATCAGTGCAAATAGCACATATAAAAAAGAGTAAATTCTCACGGAATCCAAACACATTTTACTGCGACCATCTCGACATGGTCATAATCCACCAGACATCTATTGAAACTACTGCCACGAAGTCTGAAGGAATCCGGCCCGAGCTACGTTATTTGATTGAACTTTTCTTTGACCTGTTTTAAACTGATTATTATAGAATTAAAAAAAAAAAACGTCATTGGCCATAACAGGCTCATTTTGTTTTCGGTACAAAAGTTTTCAACAAATTTTAAATTTAAGAAATAGTATATGTATATGTACTTTACATTTTGTTAAGTAAATTGGCTCCTTCAGAGGTCAGTAATGCGACAAAGGTTACATCGCGCCTCGAGACAGTACTTTAGCAGACAGCTGCATGATACGATCAGTGTGTGTTCGAGACTGTCGTTGGCTTCTTTGTTTTTGAATTCCAGTCTTAAATAGTTAATTTAATGATTATGCTATCAATAAAGTGTTGTTGCAATTGAAGTATAGTAATTCAAGGCAGATGAGTAAACCATGCCCGATTGTCATGGGGTGATCAAAGGTAAGCCTTATAATAATATTAACGGCCAAATAGTTCGGATCTTTAATAGTATGACGGTACCCTCTGTAGTTGGTCATGAATTTATTTGTGATTTTAATAATTTGTTTTGCTAAATTTAAATAAATAATAATTCGGCATTGAACCCGAGAAGGACGCAGGGAAGAAACGCTTCCGCTTTGTATCTTCTCAATATGGCGTTGTGTATCTGACATATATACACTAATGGTACGTTTACATATCTAAGTTATTGCATATTTATGTCAGACAGAAATCGTTGCTAATGTAAACAGTGAAAAATTTATTTCAGAGATTATATTTCAGCCACTAGCCACTTGTGCCGATAGTTCTATACCAGTAGATGTTAGTTGCAAGTTGCAAGACACCTGTTATTGGGTTGTCCGGAAAATAATGCAGGATTTTGGTATTAAACAAAAAAAAAGAAACTAGTTACTTTAAAGCAATGTTCTTTAATCAAAATAATTTNAATGAGTAATCCTGTAAACGTAAACAGAATATTTTATATAGATTTTTTTTAATGAAAACTTAAAATCCTGCATTATTTTCCGGACAACCCGATAGTTGTAGGTCCAACCTTGTTCGACACTTGTCGCAAAAGTTGGTCATTCGTCTACTTTTCTGCCATTGCAATAAGTGTCTTGTAAACATGAGTGACAAAAAAGAGTGGTTTAAATCAAAAATATAAATCTAAAAAAAAAATTCAAGTTAAAATTCTTATTTATTATTTCGAGATCGTGAGATGCGGTCTGGTGTGCTGTAGAAAAACATTTTCTTTTTCGTGCTACGTTTCGATCTTTATTGAGAACATCTTCAGGACTTAAAGTGTTTGTTTCCTGCGTAATTGTGTCATTGTGAACATCTTCAGGGGGTTTATAAATATTGTTTAAATTATACAAATACATATAAGATATGAATACGAATTGATCCAATGATGTATACAATATAGAAATTTTAAGTTTAATCAAAGTATTTGTACTCACTCAAAGTGTCAGTTTTCTGTGTAGATGTATCACTCTTGTGTGTCGTGTTGAGACTGTTAGTGAGATATTATTGTTTTTTGTTTATACATGTTGATTTTGAAGAAGTGGAGAAGGAAGTAGGGATAGGAATTCATTTTTCTATAAGGAGTCGGCTTCTTTGAAGTTTAGTTCTATCCCCACTTCTTTGCAACGACACACAGCAGTGGCACAGACACAGAAAACACACTTTGAGTGAGTACAAATACTTTGATTAAACCTAACATTACTTTGTTGTATACATCATTGTATAAATTCATATTCGTATCTTATATGTATTTGTGTAGTTTAAACAATGCTTATAAATTCCAGGTCCTGAAGATTTTCTCAATAAAGATTGAAACGTTGGCACATTCGAGGCTTTCATCATGTCTAGAAAAAATCAACTGTGCAGAATTAAAGAACTTTACAAGTACACGGGGTACAAGAAAACACAAAATCTATTTTATATGCAAAAGGGTCGTATATTTATTCCTAGTTTCGTATTTTGAGAACTGTCGTATACATATCTCTGATAAAAATTTATAGTAATTTCTATCAGCATGTAAACAGTCAAAGCGATTTTCTGTTTTACACTCGACATTATATTTCCGGACGAAAGTGTCAGATATAAACGCACTTAATCCCCAGTATAAATGTTTCTGTTCAATAGTCAAGGGTAAACGTAAACATAAATTTACTCTGTAATATATTCATTTTATTTGTTTTTACAAGAATAGAAACAAAATTCGTCATTATAATATATTCTTTAGATAAGAATTAAAACTAAAATTTATACAGTGAACAAAAACCTAATTTGAATTTTTTTTGTAAATTATTGTACAATATACAGAAAATAGGATTGCAGGACATACTCCTAACCCGTTGCAGTAGCTTAAATTTCCTTCTTGTATTCCTAGAACAATTGCTTAATTTGATAAGGAATTGAACAGAGAAATTGAAATTACCTTATGGGCTTTATGGGCTTGATCAACCAATTGAGAAGCCATCATTCCACCAGTCTCTTGCATGAGTCTATAGAAATAGCCATTTTTATTTGCCAAAAGTTTCAGCGGGTGGTCAAATTCCTTTAGAAATGGAAAATTTAATGCAACTATCATTTCTGTATAGAAAAATATTTATTTATACTTACAACCATACAACCAGCATCCATCACCATTATCCTGTCGCTATCTATTACTGTATTTAATCTATGTGCAATAACAAGAACTGTGCATTCTTCAAACTTTTTTCTTATTACTTTTTGAATGACATCATCAGTTCTGAAATAGATTTAACAACATTTAATTAATTAACATTTGCATTTCAACTTAGATACTTGTCTGCACTAAACATGCCCCAGCCAAGATCACATAAGGAAACTGGGACAACTGACAATAATTAGACGTCATATGTTTTTGCTTTGCCCCAGTTCCATTTTGTTATCTTGGCTGAGATTTGTTTAGATTTAACTTGTAAGTACACGATCGACTGTTGATACTCTTACTTGGGATCAACACTTGCAGTAGCTTCGTCTAAAATAATAATTTTACTGTTTTTAACAATTGCACGTGCCAAGCAGATAAGTTGCCTCTGGCCCACACTTAAGTTAGAACCCCCATCTGCAATTTTTGTATTTAAGCCAAATCCATATTTTAAAATTTCATCAAGTTCGACCTAGAGGTACAATTAAATCAATCTTAACATTTCATTTTTTTGTTTAATAAATAAGAATGATCATTACTTCGTTTAGTGCCTTCCACAGAACATAATCAGGATGCTGAAGAAACGGGTCCAAATTCATCCTAAGGGTGCCAGAAAAAAGAACTGGGTTTTGTGGAATGATGCAGATTTTAGATCTAAGAAAGTTTAACGGCAGTGTAGATGTGTCTATTCCGTCAATCAATATTTGACCTTCTACATGTGCCAGCCTAAACAGGGCAGATATGAAGGATGACTTTCCAGCTCCAGTCCTCCCAACAATCCCTATCTAAACGTGTCTCCTTTTCGATTAATACAATTTTTTTTAACTTAATGTACTCTACCTGTACCTTTTCCCCAGATTTTATATGAATTTCGTGAATTTTAAGAACTGGTGGATCATCGGAATTATATTTCAGGATTAAATCGTGGCATTTTATTTCACCGTTTTTCGGCCATTGGCCTTGTGGGGCTAGTTTTTTATCTACAACATCAAAAATTAAAATATATTCAAAGGTTTACTTTTTATCGTTGTACTAATTACAACATGCTTATTTTAATGTAAACCAAATTAAACAAGATCAAAAATTCATTTGTTGAGAGATAAAGATTATCTAAACACGACAAATAAGAATGGCACATTTACACAGAAAACAAACACTTTGAGCCCTGAAGATGATCTCGATAAAGATCGAAACGTAGCACGATAAAGAAAATGTTTTTCTAAAACCTACGCCATACCAATCCGCATCTCACGATCTCCAAATAATTATGATGGTTTTTATTAAAGTAGATGAATTTTCGTTCAGTTTGGTTTACACTAAAATAATTATAGTAAAATATTAATTAATTAACGATAAAAATACATAGTTTGAAATAAATAACAAAATACGTCCGGTTTTTTTTTTGTCTCGGTGAATTTTGTAAAATTTTGTTTTCTCTTTACCCTTATCCGTTTCTTCTTCTGATATTTGTATAAATAAAAGTAACCTTTCAACGGATGTCAATAAATTTACGACTTCTGATGATTGACGGATTCCCCACTGGAGCAAGGATGTAACAACTAGTGACTGTGTGATTGCAAGGCCGACATCAGCTCCGTAGGCTCCTGTCAAGATAACAGTCAAATCACATTTGTAATATGTCAATATGTATTTACATTTGTTATGCTTAAATTGACTACCTTGTTTAAATAGCATAAATGTGAATATTACACAAGAGAGATAAATCAGTCCTAACAAGTCCAAACAAAAAGTATAAGCCTGCTGTGTTGATACAAATGTATAAAGAGCCCCGGTGTGCAGATCCTTAACAGAAAAATATTCAATAGTCTGATTAGTATTTATATGTTACAAACATTGACTTTAGTAATGACCTGATGTAAGTCAAATTGTTCAATTAGGCGTTCTTGTGATCCATGAGCTCTTATGGTAGCAAGACCCTGAAGAGATGTGTTTAAATGTGTAAAGACAGGACTTCGAACAGTGTTTTCAATACTTTTGAGGTTGAGCGCTGTCTTCATGTAATAATGCCTTACAGTGATAGTTATTATGAAAAATATAAGTGCAGGGATGGCAAACCAGATGTTTACGATCATCGATATAATAATTGCACCTAGCACTTGTCCAAATACCTTTTGATATGGCAATATTATTTCATTGAAGTTTTAGGATTTCATAAAAAAGATTATTTTACCTGCCCGGAATCTAGGACTGATTTAGGCAACAATTCATCCGTGGATCCTAGATCTCTTGAAAATCGGTTGAGTATTGCACCTTTAAAAATAAAAATTCTTATAATTTTTAATTGATTCAAAGTATATATTAAAAACTGTGCCTGAGGGATTTTTGTTGAAAAATCCAAGATCTCTTGATAGAATTGTCTTCAACATTTGAGAATGGAGACCTTTGGAACAGTTTTTGCACATAACATAAAAAATTATTCCTCTTGTAAATGCAACCACAAACAGGGAAAATACTAGCAATCCGAAAATTGTGACATTTAGAGTTCTTTCGTTGGCAAAATTTTGAACACTAATTGACCCATTGTTAGTTGCTAAGATCAATTCTTCTTGGGTTGTCCTGTGGATTGTTGTAATTAGTTCACATTATTCCTACAGCCAAATCTTAAACTATATATACCAATAGGACACAAAAATATCACTCAAGCTTGCCAAAACCTGGGAAGCTATGAGAAGAGTGATAAAAAAAACTAATGTCGTAAATGACGATCCAGTTTTGATGTATCCTAGAAATACATTTCCTTTATATGCGCCTTGCATTTCTGTTAGAGAATCAATTTTTTTGGGCGTGTATTCTTCCACTCCTTCAAGTTCATCAATTGTTGAAATATCATCAGCCACTGTACTTACTGACTTGGTACTCTGCAATTTTAGTATTATTGATAATAAACTGTTTTATTACTGAATCAGTTTGACATTTACTCTAACAGAAAGCATTCTTTCGAAGTGTCGTTTTTGTTTTGGTTCATTCCCTTCATTCTTAATATCGATTTCATTTACTTTAGAGAACATATCTCTTCCAAACTCGTCATCTTTATTTAGAAATGTTGTGAAAGTTCCCTGGTACTGGATTGTTCCCTACAAAAATATAGTACAATTTTAGAATCATCCTAAACTAAGCGATCAATTCCAACTTTCTTAAATTAACAACAAACCTCTTTCAGGAAAATCATATGATCGCATTCCTGAACAAACTGAAGTTGATGTGTGACAATAAATACTATTTTATCTTTTAGAAATCCTGTAATAAATATTTTTAAACAAACCATACTAGATTATTTGTGAGGCAAGTAACAAAGAAAATATACCTTTAAAACATTGTTTAAACAGATTTTGTGCTACATGAGCATCTACTGCCGATAATGGATCATCTAACAAATAAATATCTGCCTCCTTATAAATCGCTCTGAAAATAAAAATAATTATTAATTATTATTCGGAGATCGTGAGATGTGGTCTCGTGTAACTTAGGGTTTGGAAAAACATTTTGTTTATGATGCCAACGTTTCGATCTTTATTGAGATCATCTTCAGGGCCTGGGATTTATAAACATTGTTTAAATTTTATAAATACATGTAGGATATGGAAAAAAATGAATACAATATATATACAATGCTAGAAAATATTAGTTTAAAAAAATAAATTTATAAATGCTAGAGAATTTTAGATTTAAAAAAATGAATTTATACAATGCTAGAAAATTTTAGATTAAAAAAATGAATTTATACAATGCTAGCAAATTTTAGATTAAAAAAATGAATTTATACAATGCTAGAAAATTTTAGATGTAAAAAATTAATTTATACAAAGCTAGAAAATTTTAGACTAAAAAATGAATTTATACAATGCTAGAAAATATTAGATTAAAAAAATGAATTTATACAATGCTAGAGAATTTTAGATTTAACAAAATGAATTTATACAATGCTAGAAAATTTTAGACTAAAAAAATGAATTTATACAATGCTAGAAAATATTAGATTAAAAAAATGAATTTATACAATGCTAGAGAATTTTAGATTAAACAAAATGAATTTATACAATGCTAGAAAATGTTAGATGAAAAAAATAAATTTATAAATGCTAGAGAATTTTAGATTTAAAAAAAATAAATTTATAAATGCTAGAGAATTTTAGATTTAAAAAAAATGAATTTTACAATGCTAGAAAATTGTAGATAAAAAAAAGAATTTATACAATGGTAGAAAATTTTAGATTAAAAAAAATGAATTTATACAATGCTAGAAAATTTTTGACTAAAAAAATGAATTTATACAATGCTAGAGAATTTTAGATTAAAAAAAGATTCAATCGAGTATTTGTACTCACTCAAAGTGTTTGTTTTCCGTGTAGATCAAATACTCAATCAAATAGAGTACAAATACTTCGATTGAATCTATAATTTTCTAGCATTTTATAAATTCATTTTTTTAATCAAAAATTTTTTGTAGCATTGTATAAATTGATTTTTTTTAATCTAAAACTTTCTAGCATTGTATCATTTCATTTTTTTAATCTAAAATTCTCTACAATTGTATAAATTCATTTTTTTCCACATCCTACATGAATCTGTAAAATTTAAACAATGTTTATAAATCCCAGGCTCTGAAGATGATCTCAATAAAGATCGAAACGTTGGCATGATAAAGAAAATGTTTTTCTAAAACCTACGTCACACCAGACCGCATCTCACGATCTCCGAATAATCAATCATTGATTAATGGTCACTAAACACCACACATAATTAATAAAATAATTAAATTCTTGTTTAATATCACATTTAATATCACCTTGCTAAATTAATTCTCGCTTTTTGACCCCCTGACAGTGATGTTCCTCTTTCTCCAACTTCTGTTTGATCACCTTTAGGAAAAAGTTCTAAATCACAGTTCAATGAACATGCATGAATTACCTAAAGTGAAAGTGTAAATTTATACGTAGGCTCTTTCTTTTAACTAGTAAACTACAAGGAAAGTGTTTATATTATTGTAAAATTATTTAATATATATACTTCATTGTATCTTTCTTTATTGAAAGGTAGGCCAAGTAAAATGTTTTGCATAATTGTCCCTCCAAACAGCCATGGTTCTTGAGAGGTGTAAGAAATCTTGCCTTTGACTCTCATCTCGCCTCCTTTTATTTTCATCTCTCCAAGCATAAGTTGCAGGAGCGACGACTAAAAATAATTACTAAAATCAAATCAAAACAAATAAATAAATAAATAAATACAAATTACCTTTCCAGAACCAACACGTCCAATGACAGCAATCAATTTTTTATCAAGTACCATTAGATTTAAATTTTTTAAGATATTCTCCTGAGCTGACTTTGACCAACTTGCATTAACATTCTGCAGAGTTACAGAAGTTTTTTCATCCAATTTATCTGTAATAGTTTCCTCAATGTACCCATTGTTGACAAAACCATTTTTGTTTACTTTATTGTGACAAATGTTCTCATCCGATTTAACATTTGACTTCAAATCATCACTTATTTGAAAAGATTCGACTTCATCGTTCAGCATAAATTTCTGTAAAGGAAAATGTTTAAGATGACGTAGAGATGTTAGAAGAACCACGCATTCTGCAGAGTATGATTAACAACTTACAAGAATACTGCATGACGTGGAATTTATCGGTCAATTTAAACACACCTAAAATCTTAGAGTTTAGGAAAGGGGGAAGTTGGCAAAAATGGATATACGCAGAAAACGAGATTGAGGTAGTAAAGGAATATACTAGGGGTGACATTGATGCCACAAAATTAAAGCACGCTCGGAGCACATTTTGTTGAAAAGATTACGACATGAAAATTTGCTATTTGTAGCACGTGGAATAAAATGATAAAAAACAAAACTATTCCGTTTGACGCAAAATTCAAAGTTTTCCACTCGTTATCAAGAGCGACCCTGTGTTATGCAGCCTCAATTTGGGGTTTTAAAGATTATAAGGAAGTAGAATGCCAGCAATAATAAAAATTGCTCTGGTTACAGATAAATTTCCCGGATTACATATTGTTTCTAGAAATATGTTAGGTTCCTATGTTATGCATTCACACTTAAATTTTATAGAGAGTTTTGAACTTATCACCAAACCGTTTGCCAAGAATCAGTTACATAATGAGAAATCATATGTTTTGGTTTAAAGAACTTCGGGATCTCTGCTATAAATTAAAGATCTATAATATCATAGCAGGACAAAAATGCTCGTAATAATTTACTCACTTTGAATCCGAAATAGGCAAAAAAAAGGAAAAGTCACAATTCTACCTACTTTGTAAACAGGACGAACTTAATTTAAAAAGCTAATATTTTGGTGAAAACTATAGTTTAATTTTTATTAGCATCATATTAAAGGTTAGAGGAGAGCTGTTAGGATTAATAGAATAGAGGAAAAAATAATTTGTTCTCAGAAGTTGAGGATACTTTTTATTTGTACGTTCCAGTTGTATGTAGTTTTCGGCAGGATTGGTAGGAATATATTATGTATATTGATATATATACATAATATAATAACGTAGCGATTTAAATTAAAATGTTTTTTTTTCCAGTTGTTCCCAGGAAAGTTTAGCTTGTAATAAATGTTTCTTTAGATTCTAAGATAGGGTTCATTTAGTGTGTAAGTTTGTTCTCATTGCGTCATAACGTTACCCATAGAAAATTAAGGCTGTTGTATGTTTTATGTTTTAGTTTCGTTCAGAATAAATGCTTGCTTTTTTTGTTTTGTTTTTTTAATGTAAATGCTGTGTTCTATTTATTTGAATTTTTTGTTTTTTTAAGCCCATTTGTAAGTATGTCGGGTTCGAATGCAGGGCCGCTGGATTCGAACCCGGGACCTTTACCTTACAGTGATGAGCGCCGTGTCAACGCCTAAACCGTTGCGCCCACCGGCGCCCCTTATTTTATTATTAGTAATTAGTTTATGGAATAATAAAAACGTATTTGAGTTCAATTGTTTTATCAACTCTAAATAAATACATATTTAGCGTGAGTCAAGAAATGAAATTTTTAATCCTTTTAAAAAGATAGTTTCTACTCACAGTAAGTTGTTTTCCAACGATTTCGAGCTTTTAACTCACCATCAGGTTGAAGGAGTTGTATAACCTGATGATGAGCTAAAAGCTCGAAATCCGGATCGTTGTAAAACAACTTACTGTGAGTAGGAACTATCTTTTTAAAAGGAGTGAACACCGCACTCACTCCACCATTCATCATTTCTATTAAATTTTTATATTCATTATTTAATTTTTGAACAATGAAGGGAAATGTACGTTATAATTGTGATCATGGCCTATCTCATCTGACGGACTATGCAGTGTCCATATCATGTTATTATAGCTATATGTAAAATATGTAATGATAGGTATATGTAAAATATGTAATGCTATAAAAAAGACACTGTAGTATTTATCATATGGAGATGTTAGAAAGTCAGTTTCCTTACCTGCAATCGTTGTACAGATACAAAACATTCAGAGACCTCAGAAACTCCTCTCACAAATACACTGCACATTGATCCCGACAATATTCCAAAATATGATGTAGTTACAAAAACCTATTTAATAGTTTTTTAATTAATGTAAATATATTAAATTCTTACTAAATAGTCAACTAACTTTTCCAGCATTAAGGGCCTCTCCTTTAAACACGTACATTGCAAGAGTACAAAATAATGCTATTCTTGTTGTTGAGAGATTAAATGTCATGTAAGTTCCTCGTAAATAATTCGCATATTTGACTGATTTTAGTTCTTTTCTAGCACAATCAACTTAATTTAAAAACAAAATTAAATATATAATATAATAATAACTCACTTTCTTGCCCATTCAAGTAAGTTCATAAAGACTTTCTCCCATGCAAATGTTTTAATAACATGAATACCACCAAGGACTTCATCTGTAAGCCGTATTCTTTCATCGGCTTTATGTGCAATTTGTCTTCTAAACTTAGTAGTGAGTTTGGCACAGTATGCTTAACACAAACGAAAATCATTAATTTAGTTTAAAATTTAACAAGAAATAATACAAACTTTGTATAGGTGCAATAGTGTAAATAACTGCCATTCCAGCAAAACCAGCATAGCCAACTTCATCGTACAGGAAATATGTGATGATCATCGCTATCAATGGGGCCGACCAGAGAAAGTTCATGGTGAATACGACAAAATCAAATCTACTGACATCATTCGATACAAGATTTACGATTTGCCCTGCCGAAGCTTCACCTAACGCAGTTTTGCTCATCCTCAATGACTAAACAAAATACATTGTCAGACAGTCGGTTTTACGGAATATTTCTGAATGCACCTTTCTGTACACAAGTGAAACGCATGCCGCTCTCATTTTCAGACCGAGAGTAAAAGCATTTGCCATGTAATGGTTTACCAACACATTAGTTACCAAAGCAGTAAGAAGAAGTCCCAAACCGGAGGACAAGGCTGTGTTTAGGTCTATTTGTTCAGCTGCGTTGAAATAAGAGATAGTCAATCCAAGAAATTTTGGCCGAAGAAATCTGTAATAAATAAATTATAAACATAAATATGCAAATAACAAAAAAAACCCTAAATAAACATAAGAAACCTATTATTCAAATAAAGCCTATAATTTATAGTAGGCAAAGATAAATATATCTATATTTATTTCTCATAAATTTTGATAAAGGAATGGATAAGTGAATGGTATAATAATATCACTCCTTAAAATATTATGACAATAAATAAATAGTTAAAGTGTTAAACAGTAAAAATAGAAAGCATCAGCCATAATATAGCATTTGGAAGTCTGTGATGAGGATAAGAAAACAATAGGGATCATGAATTACTTAAGTTCTAGAAATCATCTAATTACAGTGATAATTATAGTGACCATTTCAAAGAGGAATAATTACAACAATTCTTCTCTTTTTCTCCCAAAAGAAGCAGTAATCTTCAAAACATACCTTTTCGATTCTGTTCTAAACACGACACTCTTTCCCTCGCTATAGAAATTCTCTTCTGTAAAGATTATTCTTAAACCAAAAATCCAACTCACCTTACTAGTTCTTACAGACCAATCAGTATTTTGCCTATAATCGCTAATGTTCCGGAAAAAGCCACTGTAGCAACGACTGGATAACGAAGTACCTTCTCATATCCTAATCGACAGGCCGGCTTTAGGAGTTGCCACTTTACTCTCCATCAAGCACATTATGTTATAGATGCCACTGCCTTCGACTGGAGTAGTACAGCACATATCCCAGGCATTTGATAAGGTATGGCACCTCCGGGACTTCTGTGGAAGCTCAAGGGCATCCTACCATCTATCTTATACCTTATACATAAGTTATACAAAATCATATTTTACAAACCGTCACTTCCAAATGGTCCAAAACACTTCTTCTCCGTCATTGACCATATTCTTGCTGGTGTCCCTGCATAATTTACACGGCTGATCTTTCTACTCAACCTAACACGTTCATTTCTACCTTTACCAATGACTTCGAATCCAAGCTTCGCCAGTGGAGGATAAAGGTTGGACATGACACTAAATCTAAATCCGCTCAAAGACAAAAACCGGACTCTCGCATTTTGTTTATTTTCAAATGTCACACCAATCAAAGCTGGCGTTTCACAAGGAAGTATCCTAGGCCCAATCCTCTATACCATCTACGCTGCTGACATACCCACACATCCAAACACGTATGCGATACCGGTATGAGATGCCAAAAGCATCCAACAGACTCTCCTGGCGACTAGATTCAGTCGCCGCCCCTACAACTCTTCTCGATCCTCTCCCAAGCGGTTTAAAGACCTAGTTGTTTGATTCTCTCATATTTTTATAATGGACGAGTTAAAAAGTCACTTATATCCTATTTTAAAAGTTACAGAGGTAAAAGTAAAACACGAGTTGGACGAGTGATCTGCTCGATACAGTATGAACTGTATGAATGACACCATGCTGCGCAATGTCCCGTCATGAGGTCCCGCATACTCGGTCGTCCTTAAAAGGACAGTGAGGATCATTAACGTCTGCACCTGGCCGATTAGGCCTTATCGGACGTTTTGATTCTCAAGATGAGAGCTGACGCACTTTTGCATACGACTGACGTGTGTTACAGCCGCAGCATTGGTGTAGAGGCTGTCCCGGCCCCGAGGGGCCAAGATGGACCTCAGCAATGTCCTTTCAGTCGCCTTCATACAGAAAAAAGTATCAATCTACTAAAAATCCGTCTCATACCTGTTGCCTGCCAGTCTCCCTATCTGAATGACCGCATCTGTCCCTACATCGTTCTCCTCGATACCGATCGCCTCCGTGTGAACCGGGCTTAAGATTTCTTTCGATCTGGAGAATATCCAACAAGATCCTGTGGAAGTTTTCGTCTGATTTTTGGTCATATTGTGATGTTTTCCGAAAAGCTCCTTGAGTTGCAATTAAAACAAAACTTGTCATCTCGTCGGAAAATAAGGCGAAAACTCGTATGAAAGAGGGGAAAAGTTAGAGAAGGAAATATCCGAATTTTGTGAACGTGAAGAGTAATCAAATTGGGCGGGGGACTTACGAGTCTTTAGGCAGCAAGTCAGATGATGGTAAAATCTATATAATTTCCAGATTCTAATTAGCCTAATAAGTAAGTGGTTTAAATTATAAACACTTTTCTTTATAAATTTCCCAATTACAATGAGGGAAGAATGCAGTGCTGCCAGTGCATATTTGGAAAAAAGGAGAAATCCACAACAAAACTAATAACAAATTAAATATTTAGCTAAAAATTCAAGAATTTTGTACTCACACGTCAATTGTTTGTTGGAAAACGTGTATAACGGCAATAAACAGGATGTCTTTCCAGAACGTTAAATATAGAGCCTTCATCAGACTTGGAGTTTTGTTTGTGTTTCCAAGCTGGTTTTTCCAATTTCTAAAAAAAAAGTTGTCATATAGATTTCAAAACTACTTTAAACAATGTGAACATTTTTTAAAAATGAAATACATATTTAAATATATAAAATTATAGATTTTTTTTTAAATAGCGGGCGTGAAGACAAACCACTCTGAGTCATAACACACGAGCAATCTTTCTTTACAAGCAGGACAGCTGCGCGGTGTTTGCCCCAAAAGCAGGTGTCCGTGAGTCAGTCGAGTTTGGCCTATCCTTAAATGGGTGAGCATGATCCCATCCTTGCGTTTCAGATCTTCGACCGGCCATCTCTCAGTCGTACTCTTGACAAGCAAGAGCTTCGCTCCGTTCTTTTATTGCGTTCTTTACCTCGTACAGCGTACAGGGCAGGATCGCGGTTGGATTATTATTTTTGGTTTTGGATTATTATTATTATATTACTATCATTATTATTATTATTATTATATATTATCTACTATCTATAAACGCAAGAATTAAATTCTTTTAATGTGTTAGAAAAATAATTGCAATCGGTTGATTTAATACTTCAGAAATATTTCTGATTTTATAAACGATTCATTATTTATTATTATTTCTTATAAGATTGTTTCTGTAGGCTAATTTAAAATATAAAATACATAATTAAGTGTACAATGTTTTTTTTCGGTTAGCATGCGTGTTCTTGTGCATTGGGCTGCATAAATATGCTCGTTGTATTGCTTGAATAATCGTCCACTAAACGGAGATCATTTTTAACACAAAACACATTTAGCAAGACTAGGCGAACATAGATCAAAATGCGGACAAAAAAACATTTGGTTGCATGGTGAATTTCACAGTTGTATTATGAATTATTTTATTTAAGATTACTGTAACGGAATAATTAACTGTAATGATAAATTCACTAATTTTCGTGGTCCGCTTGTCCAATTAGGTTGAGATGGGAAGTTAGTGTCCGAGTGGATCGAAGTCACGATAGCTCAAGTGGTAGAGTAGCGGCGTATCTAGCCGAAGGTCGTGGGTTCGAATCCCGCTCTTGACACTGACTTTTTTATCTCAACTTAAATCCTTAATTAATTGTAATGATAAATTTAATTTTACTTACTTTTCTAATTTTTCACCTAATAAAGCGGACTTGTGTTTGCTGTACGGACCCCAAATAGTTTCAGGCGTTATTTTTTCTTTGTAATCGGACAAGAATATTTTGGCGGTCCATCTATGATATAGAATAGCCAATCAATTTGATTTATAATATATTAAAAATAACTAAAACCCTTACGTGAACGTAAACAATGAGAAAAAGTTAGCGAATTCTCTGGGATGAGGAGCCCAGTGTTTTCGGGACGATTCCATCTCTGAGAAGAATAGAATAGAAATTAAATTATAATGAATCTCGTTATCTTTTTTATCAGCTTTTCACAGTGATTCGGTAGCTTATTTACGACAGTTACGTTTACAAACATCTTAACAGCGAAGTCACTGTTTGCGTTGGTTACACGTTACCATTTGTTACATACACTTATGATTTCAAATGATTACATCGTAGAACTATATTTTCAATCAAATTCTTCATCTCGACAATTTGGAAATATTATAGTTACGTCTTCAGTTATCAACACAAAATCTGTACAAAAAAACGGATTTATTTGAAAAACTTAACTTGCAACTAAAATCAGTACACTTCATAAATTAGAAGAACAGGTGCAAATTTTTGTCACGTAAATCTATTTTTATGTTGTGGTCTTGCATAGTTCTATACCCTAGCAAAACGTCTTATTTGTCCGAAAAAGGAAAGAGGTTTAATTTCGCTTTTACGTTTTTTTTTTTGTTTTTTTTGAAAGATTTCGTACAAATTTAGATTGCGAGATTTTTCTCCGGTCATTTTGCCAGCGGGGGTTAAATTATGAAAGGATCATTTGATAAAATTCTATCTTTGGGTATTACTGTAGGTATAATGTAGTTTTAAGATGATCCCGTATCTATTAACCATTTCACTGCATATCCATCAATTTACCATCAATATGGTAACGACTGGTTCACAGAAATTAATTGATATTGGGGGGGGGCTTCCTTTCGATTCTTCTAAGGTCTTGGTTGAGATAAAAAAGTCAGTGTCGCGAGCGGGATTGGAACCCACGACGTTCGGCTAAATACGACATTTAAAAATGGCAAAAAGAGAAAAATGGAACGGTTGTAGGTTGAGATGGAGAGTTGGTGTCTGAGGGGATCAACTCAGATAGCTCAAGTGGTAGAGCAGCTGTGTAAGAGCCGAAGGTCGTGGGTTCAAATCCCGCTCGTGACACTGACCTTTTTATCTCAACCAAGACCTTAGTAGGAATAATTAATGTTCCGTTAATGTTAAAGTGTTGTTGTTGTCGTGGTTCATAATTTTGGAATTTGTTGAATGGTGTATGTTGTACATGAGTATATTGTTTGTTAAAATACGTAGGGTTACTATAATGGTTTGGAATTCTATTGAATTCACTGACTTCTTGTAGATGATATTAGATTATAAAAAAAGAACATTTGTAATATACTATGCTTCTAATTTCATCAATTGTTTCTAGATTAAATATCAAATTGTGACTACTTAATAGGGAAGTAAACATTTAAAAATGTGAAATCTAATTACTTTATCTAACCTAATCATTAGTTGTTTCAAGACGTCTGAATTTAATTCGCCTAACTTTGGTCGAATATAAACTAACTTTCGTAATGCTTGAATTCTGTTAACAAATTCTATCGGGGATTCTTTAGGTTCTATGCCTAGTTTGCATTATCTCTTCTTTAAAAATTTCATATGACCTTGAATCAGCGAAATTTTGTGTCAAATGTTTAATTAAAATCAGTAAATGCGAAATAAGTATATTTCTGGAAAGGTCAATTAGTTTGCTTTTGGCTTTTATGAATAATGGTTGTAATCTCTTTCGATAATATTTTCTGACTCAATTCGCTGTACGCAGTTTCCAAAATTTTACAAAAGAAGGTTAGTTCCATCGAAAAAAGGAATGTTATCATAGTCTTCTTTTGTCATTTTATAATTATTTGAGACATGTTAGAAGGAAGGATTAATTTGGAAGGCTTAAGCGAAATATGGCTACTTACTCCTACGGTAGTGTTCTTCTTCTCCAGGTTGCTAGTTCTTCTTTCTTCTGTCTTGGGCAATTTTCAAGACGTTTCTTTGGTCTTGACTTGATCAAAGCACCGATGTGCACGCTAAAAGTTACGTTGAGTCTAATGGACGCAACTACGGGACAAATGGTCACGACTTTAAAACTACATACTCGAAGTCCCTGTTCGGGAGCCTGTTCGGGAGCCTGTTCGAGTAATCTCGCTCGAAGAAGACTTTAAAAAAAAATTATTGTCAAGACTGTACAATGTTTAAGGTTAAACCGACAGAGTGACGGGCAGAAGGCTATCGAGTAAGGCATGGATATTTGCGGATTATAGTTTTTAGACTATTTTAAAGAAATTCTGATTAAGATGATGGGCGAGCGTCGAGACCCGCTAGACTTTCCTGCGGTGTCGGTCTGAGGGGCTTTGGTTACTTCGTAACTTGGATGAATCGGAACTACCCAAAAAAGTTTTTTTTTTATAGCAGACTGACAGGAAAACATATTGCGACTGAAGATTATAATTAAGCAAAATAAATATGGAGGACGTTTAATTGCCAACCATAGGAGAATATGGTGATATATACTTAAAAACTGATGATGTTTTATAGAAATTTTTGAAAATTTTAGAAATCTGACCCTACGAACGCATAAATTAGACTCTCCCAGTCATCAGTTGGAATGCAACGTTAAAACATACCAATATAAAATCCTTATGACTAGGACCGAATTTTAATGATTGAAAAAGGCATAAGAGGTAATATACATTGAAGCAAATAACTGTTACATAGATTAATATGTGAGATCCAAAGAATCCACATTCATTACTTACCTGGGCGCAAAAATTTATACGAGTATGCTGTGCCAAAACCATTTCTCTTTAGCGACTTTCTGTGGGTAGATTTTTCATTTGAAGACCTATGAAATGTTACTGAAGAAAGTGAATACGGTTTCATCTTAGATGTTGATTTTCACTATCCACAAAATTTACACGTCACACAACAATTTACCTTTTACCCGAATGCTACACTAAAATAACGTTGTTCAAAATTAATTCAACACTTTCATAACAGGAAACACTACGTCATACACTTAAAACAAGCTATTCAACATGGAGTAGAATTAAATAGAATAAATCGTAGTTTGAAGTTTCAGCCAAAAATATGGTTGAAAGATTATGTTGAGTAAAACATCATGCTAAGACAATAAGTCCCAAACGATTTCTGGCTGGCCAGGGCAAATTGTTAATGCTGTAGGTATATGGAAAAAGAATGGAGGATGGGACACTTTGTTAGCAAGTTCACCGGATAGACAAATGTAATTAACACTGAATAGGACTCATGGCATGAGGTCGAAAACATTCTGTTAATAAATAAAATTCCCTGCTGCAGTATATGTTCAACAACTTACCATATAAATAGTACAACGGAGAATGTTAGAAAACGAATGAACATAGAATGGTTACAGATAGTAACGATAAAGGTGGGGTGAGTACGTTAAATCTCCTCAAAAGATAGTTCTAGCTCACAGTTAGTTGTTTTCAACGATCCGTATTTTAAGCATTAAACGCTAATCATCACGTAGAAGGACGTCTCTTACTCAATCATGTTGCTCGACATGAATTGTAAGTATGAATGTGTGCCTTGCAAATTCACCTCCAACGCTCTAGTGAGAAGCTAGTTTTTAATGTCGCTCAATTTTGAAGTGCGAAAAAACGTGAATTATAACACCACTAAATATTATCTTAATAAATACTGTAAGAAAATAATTTAAAATTAATGATTAATTTGTATGTCTAAAGCTGGGCGCACACTAGGTTGGTGGCGCGGTGCGGAACCGACCCCCAAGAAGAATACATTGAAATGAATTAACCCGGCACACTAGACCGGTAGGGCGGCGCGGAGCCGTAGGAAGTTGTCAGTCTTCTGAAAGCCGCTCCGCGCAGCGCCACCGGCCTATTATGCGCCGGGACGGTCGGTAATCGTTGAGTTTGGGTATATTCTGCTGCCCTCGGACGCCGTATTTGTAAAGAAGAAGCCAACGATTGTGACGTGGAGACTCCTGTAAATGCAAAATCAACATTAAACCGCAGTGTTAGTCAGTTGGAGGGGGAAATTCGACCAACGCGGTCGACAGCGGTTCCTACATAGTGCGCGAAACCGACCTCAAGAAAAATGCATTGAAACGTATGTAACCGCGCACACTAGGCCGGTAGGGCGGCGCGGCGCGGAGCCGATCTGGAGAAGTTGCCAGACTTCTGGAAGCCGGCTCCGCGCCGCGTCTTGCCTCCCTACTAGGTCGGTGGCGCGGCGCGTAACCGCCCCCAAGAACAATACATTGAAATGAATTAACCCGGCACACTAGGGCCGGTAGGGCGGCGCGGAGCCGGAGGAAGTTGCCAGACTTCTGGAAGCCGGCTCCGCGCCGCGGCACCGGCCTTGTGGGCCCCGTGGCGGTCGGAAATCGAATTCGGGTATATTCGGCTGCCCTCGGACGCCATATTTGTAAAGAAGCCAACGATTGTGACGTTGGGACTCTTGCAAATGCAAAATCAACACTAAACCGCAGCGCTAGTCAGACGGAGGGGGAAAGTTCCACCAACGCGGCCGAGAGCGGTTCATAGTTCTATACATAGTGTGCGGACCTTCACAATTCCGACCCGCGCCGCGCCAACCAACTGACCTAGTATTCGCCCAGCTTAAGACATACAAATTAATCACTAATTTCAAATTATTTTCTTACAGTATTTATTAGGATAATATTTAGTTGTGTTATAATTCATGTTTGTCACACTTCAAAATTGAGCGACATTAAAAACTAGCTTCTCCCTGGAGCGTCATGTTGGAGGCGAATTTGCAAGGCACACAGCGCCCAGCTTTATATCGGCAGGTGGCGGATATCACTCCCATGATTTGAAATTAAAAGAAAACTAAGCTGAAAATAACTTTTAAGTCTTCAAGTAAGGAATGCTAATACTTCGTATGTTCGCACGGAAGCAAGAAAACGGAAGCAAAGACGTTCCTCTGGGACGCATGAGAACAAGTCACGACGGGAACAAGCTACGGACGCAGTCCTTTATCGGGCCCTTTAGGGATTAGGGTCAAAGGAATGTGGGAGCATTTCAATGGAAACATGAATACTTACGCCAATTACTTTGGCGTAAACATGTTTAAAATCGGTGTGGGGGAATCAAAATCTGTGATTTTATTTATGCATTTATCTTCATGTTTAATTTTCTCAAACCAGTCTAGCTCCCTCCCTTTGTTGAACTTGTGTTAAACTGTTGTATTTACATTTAAATCGGAATTGTGTCTTCGTTCGTTTAGATGGTTCTTAAATTCAGAAAATTTGTCCGATTTAAGCAAGTGTTCTTAATTTCTCTGCCGCTTTGTCCTATATATTTAAATCGCATTGATTACAATTACAACTGAGTTGAACAGAAATATAGTTTCGAGATGTTGCTTGTAGGAGATTGAGTGTAAAGCTGAGTGTCATTAGTATAAAGATGAAATAGGGAGAAATTAAGAAATAATGGAAATTCATTAAGAAACATGGAAAAGAGTAAATGTCCAAGAATAGACCCTTGGGTTACACTAGCTGAAACTGAACAAAATTAATTAAAAATTCTCATTCAACTTTAATTTATTTTGTTAGGTTATTCTCTACAAATCTTCTGCGAAATTGTTTTTGCTATTAGTTTTTATAAAAACAATACACATAAATAAGAGATCGATTCTATAAAGCGTAATATATTATATGTTTGTATTTTATAAATGTTGTAGCAATCTAATATTGTTATTTCATTAAATAATTATTTTCTTTCTCACAACATGAATTTAATATTACGAAAACGATATATAACCAACTTCACTTTATATATATAATTTTGTAAATATACAATAATAAGTATTATTTTCTCTCGTTCATCAATTCTCCCCGCCTACAATTTGTACAAAATCGGAAAGTGGATTAAAAATCTTAGAAGTTAATAACAATTAAACAGGAGGTAAAATAGAATTTTAGATTTATTGTTTGTAGTTGAAAAAGATCTAAAAAAAATTGTGAGGATTGAAAAAAAAATTGAAGGAACAATAAAAACGTATCGGGAAGGTTGGTAGCGTGGAAACGTCAGCGCCATTGCAGAGTTGCCGTGTGAGTGGAAAACCGAATGGAGTTATGTTATTATCAGATGTGAAATAATTTCTAGTCAGGAAAACGTACAAACATAACAAGAACAGTCAGTTCCGCCTAAACTAAACAATTTACGACGTGGTAGTGAGCGTAACACCGGCAAAATGACGACTGGGAATATGGTGCACTGTCAGCTCTGGATGGGCGGTGTAAGTGTACATTTGTTTATAATACGTTTTTACCAAGTCCTGCCATTCCTGTTTAATAGTCTATATTAATTTAGAAAGTAGTCTCTTTTAAATTTCTCGCCATTAAAAGGTTGAAAACTTGTTCCGTATCATGTTTTACTTTTGGCCGACAAGCTCTGACAAACAAACCAAGACTGATTTTCTCCTGATTGTAGCGAAATTGCAAGCATGGTGTGCCTTAGTAACGAGAAAAAGATTTCTCTCCTAAACTCTAATCCTCGTTATATTTACCCATACTGTTTTACGTATAGATGTCTACATCGTTGGCCAACAGATTTTTACTTTTTACCCACCAAAACCACTCGAAAAACGATTCGTCTCAAATAATAAAACCACATATATACAATATCGTTTTCCTCTCATCTTCATATAACGTCTATAACACACTACAAGCAGTAAATAATAGAAACGCTACGTATAACAGGGATTATGTATTTGTACTTATAGACTTGTATTTGTACTGATAGGCAAATAGAACAGTAGTACAAAGATATTAAGCATTTAAATAATGTTAAACAGCTGACAGGAAATCTCTCCCAATCCATTATAAACGTTTATTCATAATTTAAATTAATTACACTTTTAATCTATGATTTGGTTGAGATGAAAAAGCAAGTGTCATGAGCATTTCTCGCACCTTTGTAACTCCAGTCAATCAAACATGTGTTGCATTTTCTCGGTTTCATCTCATGTTTCACAATTTTGAAGGTCTTAAGAGAATTCTATTCAGATAACCCCACATATGCAGCGATTGGACCTAATTATAATAATTTATGAAAAAAGTTTTTTTTTATCTAGTGGATAATGTAAAAAACATTAATAAAGGTAAAAAATGAAAAAGTTCCATTTGCTGAATGATCATTTATTGAAATGCCTCTCCTGGCACAGATGTCAGCCTGCAAACACTGTGATGAGGCATCAAATATCTTCTTGGCTGATTTGTTCCTACTCTTCCAGAGGTCTCAGGTGATCGAGAGTATTCGGAGCGGTGACCTAAAGCTCTAACTCAGTTTCCTGGCATGTCCCAAACATGTTCAGTTTTTCGAGCTGGGCACTCCATCCTGCTTATTCCTTGGCTCTCCAAGAACTGTATCATGCACTGAGCTATGGTCTGGTCTTGCATTATTGTACATAAGTACAGTTTTCTCCAAAATTTTGGATGATTTCCTACAACATGAACTGCCAGGATTTTGTGCAGGTAACACTCAGCAGTCAATGAGCCATGTTCAATGACGAGCTGGGTATGTTGTTCCGTAGATATGGCCACCCCTAAATCATATCGATCTGCCTTGGAAGGAGGCTCTAGGAGGAAATTGCAAGGAGCAAATCTCAGTTTCACCATTTGGCAACTGAAGGCAGAACAGGACCCATCTGTAAAAAGGACCTTTTCCATTGTTCCTCTGCCCAAGTGTGGTGTTCGTGAGCAAATGCAGTTTAATGTATGAGAAGTTTTATCACTTGTAGGTCTCCTTGAGCTCAAATCAGCTTTCCTCAACCTTCTTTGTACTGCCCATTTTCTCACTTGGACTCCATCAACCTAATGAAGGAGTCGGAGTGGTTTTGAAGTATTTACAGTTATACGAAATGATCTTGAACCTTGTTTGTTATTCTCCTGCCTGAACAATATCACAACCTGGTATTTAACTAGTTCTGAGTATCATGCCAGGAATGAGCCAAAATAACCAAATCATCTGCTTAGAAGAAGAGCATGTTCAAATCTCTGTTTCCAATTTCTACCCTACAAACTAGCTCCATGATAAGTAAAATACTTATATAATTCCTTCTGAGATGTTATACAATTTAAAGTGATCACCATTATATTCAAAACAATTCTAGCATTGTCTTATATGTATAGCGTTAATAATGGCAATTAACTTCCGATCAATATTCAATATATATAAATTATTCAGGAGGCACAGAGTTAAATGCTTTACAAAAATAGCAAAGATATACTTTGCTGACACCTTTTTCTTTTTAAGAATGTATTGATTACATCCTGTATAATGGAAACCTTGTTTATACATTTTCTGCCCATGGTATTAATACTTTCAGTAAAATGGGTGAAATAGCCTTTTTTTACTCATCATTCTATGTGCTACTTTCGAAGAAATAGAGGTCATTTCAGTAAATGTCTGACTCAATAAGATTTGGAAAAAATTCATTTTATTATTAATATGTATAAGATCAAATAAACAATTTCATATTAGATTTTTTTCCAAACTGTATTGTTAAAGTAAAAATAATTAGCTAGTAATTAACTTATGTATCATTCTATGATATTGTTGTTCAAAGACTTAAGTTGCCATTTGTCATTGTGATCATTTAATCAAATTGTTGTCAATGGATAGATTTATAAAGTTGCTCAATGGACCAGATTGGACGCACTTGGTTAATTATGCAAAAGCGGCCTGGGCGTATTGAAGTCTAATACTAAATGAATTTAATTAACAATAAGTATTTTTTAGTAGTTGTCTCCCCCTCCCCGCTCTGTCTCTTGATACTTGATATTTCTGTTACTCCAATGTCAGCTCTAGCTCATTGATTTTTAGTTTTGTGTTTTTCTTTTTTTCCTTTATTCTGTTTTGGGCTTTAATTTACTTTAGGTATGTTTTATTTTATGTATTATTTGCATTTGTTTATTTCTATTCATATTCTGCCGATGCATTGGTAATTTGTATTTATGCATTTAATTTGCACTAATTTGACTTCATATAATTTTTATTATTGTTGGTTTTTTGTAGTTGGAGCCGTACATGACAGAGTCTTTTATTCTTGCCTCATTCCAAAGAATGGGCGAGAAACCTTTAAACGTTAAAGTAATGAGAAACAAATTTACTGGCGAACCAGCCGGTTACTGTTTCGTTCATTTTGAAAATGACGAAGAGGCCATCGATGCCATGCACAAATTAAATGGAAAAGTCATCCCTAATACAAGTCCCGTAAGTATGTCTATCGAAAGTAAAATGCTTACATAAGTAAATCCATACATTTTACTATATTGCTAATTCTATTTATTATTAAATTATTATTAGTTTTTAAAATGAGTTATTCGAAGTACAAAATTGTTGCAACAAAAAATATATAGTTTTTTGTTTTTAAACCATAATTATCATGTATTAGCTGTGTATGCGATATATGGGAAGGCCCATATTTTGGAGGAAGCTGCTGTGCGTTAAGTATTTTCACAGTTAGGTTAAACTGGTATGTAAAAACAAGCACTTATATTACTTACATATATTTCCAGTACAACAATTATTTAAGTGGATTCGTGGATTATATTGATTTTAATTAATAATTAATGTTAAGAGAAAGAAACTGGAGATTAATTGGTCCTTTATAATTTTAGTTTAATATACATAGTTGCAAATATGCATCAGATCTTTACAATGTTTTTTCTTTTGTCAATTGGCATTCCAGGCTGTAAGATTCCGTTTGAACACGGCAACAAATCAGGGTAAAATTATGATGAACGAAAGAGAATTTTCACTGTGGGTCGGTGATCTCACAACAGAAGTTGATGATTATACATTATACAAAACTTTTGCGGGAAAATACCAATCTATAAAGGCAGCGAAAGGTAATTATGAAAATTCAAATCTATTTAAAAATAGAATAGGTTTTAACAAGGAAACATGTTAATATTTTAAATCATTGGTATTAATTCTGTTTGCTTCAACTTTTCCCTGATAAATGTTTATAAATTTCTATCATGATGACGATTGGAAGAAGTACTTTTCTCAATCTATGGTTGTACTTTTTCTGCACATCCCATTTGAATAATATTCTTGTTAAACCACTTGGATATTAGGATATTACAAGATTCTTTGTCATTCATGAATGCCTACTGAAGATTTTTCTAAAGGTAGTTTAAAAAATTTGATTCAATGAGAGATGTTTTACTTAATTAAATTATTATCATTGGTAAATATTTGCCAGCTGATACATCAGGAGCTAATCTAAAAGTTCAAAACCATAGGGAAAAAGCTATTTGTTTATTGAAAAATTCAGTTCATCTGTACTTTAATTGATTAATAGTCACATTTATTTATAGTAATGAAATAAGACAATTAACGTTTTAAAAAAACTTGCATATAAAGCAATTTTTTGTTATTATATTTGTAATTATATATTGCTATTATTATGGATTTAATTATGTGTAAATTGAACTTGTTCAATTGTGATGTTTAGCACCAACTAACATTTGTTTGAAATAAGTAGTTATTTTACTAATTTATTGTATAAAATCAATCAATTTATAAAATGTTAATGTTCTTAATAGTAGTTCAAATGAATATTGTGTAATTAATTATTTGCCACAACTTCATCACCACAACTAAAATTGTAATAATGTTTTAAATAATAATACCTAAGTTAAAAAAAAAAAAAATGTATTTCTTTTCTAATTACTGTTGATTTTTCGATTGCAGTTATATTGGATGCCTCTGGATACAGTAAAGGTTTTGGTTTCTTGAGATTTGGTTCTGAAGAAGAACAAAAACATTGTTTACAACATATGAATGGTTATAAAGGATTAGGCTCTAAACCATTAAAAATTTCTAATGCGATACCAAAGACTCAAAGAGCAACAACAACAAATGGAACTACGTATGTATTTTACACCAGTTTAAAATTAAAAGTGCATGTAAATTTAATGAAAGTGTAAAATATTTTATTTAGGACCACAGCTTCTACCGGGCAATACCAGTATCAAGAGTATTCCCAGTATTATGACCCTGCAACATATTGGCAAAATTATTCGCAGTGGGGTTATGGCTACGATCCAAGTTCTGGAAATTACAGCTATGACCCAAATCAGTATGCTCAACACTATGGCAATCAGTACAATCAATATGCTCAACAATACGGACAGCAATACTCTCAACAGTACTCACAATATTCTCAGCAATATTCGCAGTACTACCAACAGCAGCAACAGCAACAACAGCAGCCTGCAACAGCCACCACGACTGTCACGGCGTCAGTTCCTCAAGCAGCGATCGACGACACTTCAGAAGTTGTAGGTGAGTGTTTATCCAGCCTCTACTACGCTACTGCACCTCAGTCGGCCCAGGCCCCGCTGCCGTACTATCTCACAGTGTCGCATGCCAATTAATAGCATTTCACAGTGTTAGTTTATTTTAACAAAAATATCAAATCTTGTATCTATTTTTCTACTCTTTAGAAAAACAGCGTTGAAATTTTTCTGTTGAACTTTGATTATAATAAAAATATTTTTCTCCACTTCGATTTTCAGTTTCATTTTACTTTTGTGTTTTGTGTCGGCTTGTATTTGTTTAATGTTTTGTCTGATTTTTATAAAATTTCTTTTTCTTGTTTTAAATATATACTTTGTGCTAAAATTAATGAGGACTTCATATTTGTCCTTGTTTCACAGAAAACCCTTTGGCGCTTTTTTTCAATTTCTTTAAAACTAGCTTTAATTTCTCTTTAAGCTAATGCAATTGCTAACACAATCCTTTAAGTTTAACTTGTTTATTTTAGTTTTCTAAATATTTTAATTCTTGTAGCCCTAGTTGTTTGAATTCATTTCTTTCTGAGTAGATCAGGCATTTTTCTTTTTACAAGTTATTTTTCTTGTTTTTACAAATTAGTAGTTTTGTAACCTTAATGATATGTAGATGATTGATATTTAAAAAAAAATTGCATTTAAATTTTGCTTAAGTGGCTGAGAAGGCACCGCTCTAAACTAGCCAAAGGATCCTATACACAGAATGCATATTTCTGTTCAATTAAAACTTCTGCATGTTAGTAAATAATCCTCTGAGTAATGATATCATTTGGCATGAAGTCGTCTTCTTGTGTTCAGACTTTGATAAGTATAATCAAGTAAACAGAAAACCAAATGGTACAACAGTGAATGTATTTGTATGTTTGTTATGATGACATATGATTTAATGATTCATGTCAGTGGAACTCTAGAAAATTAAACACCCCTAATTTTGCACATATAAGGAAGAAGGATTACTTTGTTAGCATTTGTTTTCTCATTGGACAAAATACAGCAGTTTCAATTGGTAAAGTAGGATTTCAATGTTTGCCAGGAAGAAGTTTTGAGGGGGGGGGAAATATATATAGTCCATGCAAAAAAAAAAAAAAAAAATTGGGAATGAATCAGATTCTGTTTAATATTTCCCTTTCTTTTGGCTCTCTCTACTGTCATTCGAAGTTATTTCCTGTCCTACTAAATGCACAACATACTTTTTTCTTTTTTTCGTGTATTTGTTTTGGAACACTGGAGTTGTTCACTGAGTTTGCAATAAGCTTTTTTCAGACTATGTTTTTGTATGTGGTCCATTTTTCTCATCTGTTATCACTCTAAGAAAAAATGGGTCATAAGAGTGATAACAGAGGCAAATAGCAAGCAGTAGATGCGATCCACCAAATTCCTTTCGCTGAGTTCATGTGGGATCCATGTTGTGTTTACCCAAAGTTTTTGGATGTTGTTTCCAATGTTGTATGGGAAACATTTAACATCTCTCTTAGTTCTCGGGTCATCAAAAAGGGATTTTCTTCTAGCCTATGCCTCAATATGTCATCTTGAACCTCAAAAGGACATCCACTGAGCACATCATCTTCCAGGACCACCGTTGAACTGTATGAAAAAAAAAATCTTGCATTGTTCCCTTTTTGGAATCCATAAAGTAAACAATGCCTTAAATGCGTATCACCCATAGACATGATTACTTATTAAATTATTTGACACAACTAAAGAAGCTGAAAACAGAAACTGAGGAGAAAAAAAGCAATTTAGGGAGTAAACAAGCGTATTTGTAAAAGAAAATGATATAGACAAAATGTTAATATTGAGCTAATTAATCCTATAATTGAAAAACGACATTACTTTCTTGCCACACCAATATTATCTCATGCCTACTTTAAAAAATAAAAATGTTAGCAAAATGTGTTCAATCATTCCGTTGGATGTAGCAAATAAATGTTGTATGGAATATTCCCCACTTAGATTTGGGTCCAAGAAAAAGAGCATTATATTGAAGTTTTATGTATTATTTTGCATGGCCATATTTTGAAGATGAAGAGTCTAGGCAGAAGTACTTCTTAATGAAAACCATTTTGATTGTTGCTAAATACTTGATGGTTAACCATATTGTCACTATTTATCATCCATATGACTATAAATTTACCATTTTCTTTTTTGGACTAGTATTATATTGAGAGGATATTATGTCCATTTACTTTAGAACTGTTTTAAAAGAAAATAGTTTTGATAGTTCCTAATTTTGTTTTATGTGCAGTGGCATTTATCAGGCCATAACTGATTGATCATAGCATCCTATAACTATGTACGTACGTGCAATATGTATCCAAGTCAAATATAAGTATTATGGTTATCCAGTTCATAGCTTTTTTTAAACCATTCTTTTTAGTTACTAGAGAGAACCATACCTAACATTAATGAGGTTGTAAACAACAATTTCAGTGGTAATGTATTTATTATTTTAATGAAACTTTAACACTGAAAATGTTGTTTCCAATCTTATTAATGTTACGTACGGTTGTATTTAATATCTTTAAAACCGTGGTCTATTTACAATTGCGTATGACTAAATTTTATTATAAGTAAATTTATTTATAGGTACGGTAAATAAATGGTCATGATTTCAATATGTATTGATCAAATAATAGAAGCTGAATGAGAAAACAAACTAAGCCAGCAGAATACCGTTTCACACCATTTATTTTATTCAAATTTCCTATTTTATTATGCTACTTTGCTTTGTTTTGCTTCTTCCATTCTGACAAAAAAAAGTATTATTTTCATGTGGTTATTTTTCTAAAGTTCCAGACACAAATGAAAATTTATTACATTATTTCTAATGTTTTAATTAAAATATTATTTTCCCATTATCATTGTTTATTAATTTCACCCATTTATGGGGAAAAGATGAGTGGTTTTTCGTTTTCAACAACATCTAGATGGGTTTGGTAAGCCGGATCATCAGATTATTTCTTATGGTTGGTATGAATAAAATGAATTACAGTGATTTATATTTTGAGTTAACACAAAAGTGATATTTAAAAAAGTACAATGTTTTTATTTTTATTATTTATTTATTTTTTCATTTCTATTGAATGCCAATTCAATGCTCACGCACTAACCTAATTTGTAGATGTAACTCCGTCTGTCGAGCGATGAACAACTCTACACTGAAAATTAGGAGGTAAACAACGTCATTTCGACACAAAGGTGTTTCTTTCCCTCAAGACTCTTATTTTGACTGGTACATAGTCTAAAACGAATATACCAGAAATTTTAAAATATAAAATGATATATAATACTGTTACATATTATTGTATTGTACTTATTTAGAGTGAGAAGTTAATGTATTTTATATTTGTTATAATGTATTATTTTTCTCTGTGCCCGTTCAGATGCGGGTATTTTCAATCTGCATATCTCTTTAACTCTTTGTTTGTTTTCTATGTTCAGATCACAGCCCACCAATAGACGTTGAAAAAGAAAACAGGGAATACTCAGAAGCAGTCCTTTCCTTTTGGGATGAAATCGCCTCTGTTGGATACACCGATCCAGAATTTTATGAGGTAATGTCTACAGCTGACTTATTACGTATAAACGCATGTAACAATCTATATTATTTATGATTTTAGATGGAAGTTGCAAAGATGAAAGTTGTAGGACTTGGGTCGCCCATCCCACCTGACTAGGAGAGCCCAAGTATAACTTAAAACGACAAACTCTTTTTGTACAATACTGGAAATTGGAAAGCAAAATGTGTAAAAAAATTTATGACAATGTAAATATCTTGCACTGTAAAAGCTGTGTAAGGTTGTATATATTATATATGTAGGATTTCACTTCATTAATGTGATTTAAAAGCCAATATAAGAAAAGACTTTGTTTTTACATAAGAGTGTATATATTTATATCTTAAAGACTTACGTGTGAAAATTCCAAACTGAGACAACAAAAGTAAATATGTAAGATAGATATTGATATTAAAACAATTTTTCAATTATATTTCATTCAGTAAGTCATACAATTGAAATAATAAAATTAAAATAAAAATTATTTACAAAATATTTTACAAAAGTTTTGCTAAAAAATAACAACTGTCTTTTATTTTTAATTGTCATTTAATGTAAACGGATGTAGGAATGTAAGCGTAATCTGACAGTGGTATACGCCATTTTATTTACTCTCTTCTTCCTGAGGCATCACAATCAAAAGCTTCTGGACAAATAATGAAAAGTGATCTGAAAAGTAAAAAAACCTATTTATTAGGTACTGTTAAAAAATAACAATTTTTTATTATAAAACTAACCTATATACCCGTCCAACTTTTTAGATCTGTCTCTCTTGAAGCACAAATAATACACTGGGATACCACTTAGTACGATTAAAATACCTATAACTACATACAAAAACAGAATAGTTAATACAAATTGAGGGAACAACTGTTTAAAGGTACAATAGAAAAATTATATAATGCAATTTTCATCGCAGCATCCATTATTAATATTTACTATTATTTTATTCCATATAGGAATTTAGTAGTCATAACTGACCATATTAATTATTTAAAATAATGTCTTAGTTGAGATGAAAAATCTAGTGTCATGAGCAGGATTTGAACCTATGACCTACGGCTTAATACACCACTGTTTTCACCACTTGAGTGAGCTATCTTAACTTCAATCCACTCGGACACCAACTCCTCATACCAACCTACCTTTCGAATTTTTCAAATATCATGTAATCAGGATTTGATTCTCGGCAACTTATGAAGTGGCCATTGGGAGCATTAATAAGGTAGTAGTAATGGAACTAAAGTCATTATTATGTACGACCATATATGTATTTCGTAATCATAATATGTATGGATATTACTTTTGTATGTTTTGTACATAAAGTAATCTTGGTTATGTTCCTTTTTTAATTTTAAACATCAATCTCAATAAGTCAACTTTAGTAAGTCGATAAAAACTTATTACACTTAACAGTTGACTGTTTCACCAATATAACAGATCTACACTTCTTTTTTTTTTTTTTTTAATTTAATAGTAGAAGTAAATATCTACAAAATGCAGCAACTTCTGAGGTTAATAACAAATATTACAACTTACATGTTTGTAGTGGTTCCTCAATAGCAGGAACAATCGCTAGGAAAATGCAGCAGGCGAGGAAAATAATCGGAAGAGCTAGATTAACTTTTATAGGCCTAGGAAGATCAGGCTGCGTTTTACGCAGATAGAGGAGAGCAAGGATGCATGCTCCGACCGAGAGCCAGTGTAAATGGCTGACATAGAAAATTAGAAGGAAGACATCACCCCAATACGCCATCGCTATCGAAGTAACACCCTGAATAAAACAAAAAATTAAGAGATCGATCAAATAAAATACATTTCAATCGTATTCTTACAGTGAAAAGAAGCGATGGGATAGGTGTGCACTTTTGAACATGAATATAGCTGAAAAAAGATGGCAAGTGGCCTTCCTGGGCCCCAGTGACAAAAAGTCTGGCTGATGTGAACAAAATGCCGTTCACACCGCCAAAAGTGGACAGCACTACAAATATAGGCACACAGATGGACAGGTTACCAAACATTTTCTCCCCAAAAGTCTGAAAGTACAAACATCATTTAAGAAAGAAATTAGTGTCACAACCAGGACTGAAACCCACGACATCCAAAAGGGTGGGTTCGAGTCCTGCTTGTGACACTAATTTTTCGACTCAACCGTACTTAGCTTTAAAAAATAGTAAATAATAATTAATTTGGTAGTAGGTCCAACTAAAACATATATGTACATAGTAATACATAAAGACAAATAATTTAATAGCGTATGCAATGTAAATAATTAAGCAATTAATGTTGGATTGTCAACAAACAAAAGTATTGTTAAATTATGCAATTGAAAATAATTATGCATAGCAATTGCTATACAAGAAGACAAATTATGTTCAGAATCATTAGTCATAATACTTCTGTGTGTCATTGAACACACACAGACACTTTCTGGAAATGGAGGATTGCACATCTAGGCAAGGGTCTTCATAGTAAAATACAAAATTACCAATTTGTCAGACACAATTTAGGATGTAGAGTAGACTCTCGTTATCTGCACTATAACTCATATACTGTTGCATTGTTTTTCTTATTGAAAAAGCCCTGAAATATGTGTATATAAGATCATACATAACATAAGGCACTCTACAGAAATTGTCTGATTGGTACTCAGGTTGTAGAAAACGCTTCAAAGCCTGAAAAACATGGTGTTTCCTATTATGTGCAGTTCTCGTTATCTGATGCTTTGTATGTATCCTGTGGATAACGAGAGTCTACTGTAGAGCTTTCTAATTTTTTAATTTCAAAATGTCCAATATAAACGTTCGTTGCTCCCCCAAACTCTTATTTAATCCACTAATAATGTCTATGCTGCACAAACTCCCGCCATTATCAGTTTTCCAATAGAGATTTAGAATTTTACAAATTATCTAACAAAATATGTAATACACTTCTTTCTTGTTCAAATTACTCACAGCAGCTACCGAAGGAGAGGTCATGTCTGCTGGAGGTAGAACTGCAAAGTATGCCAAATTGGCTGCGACATACATCAAAGTAACTAATGGCAATGCAATCCAAATTGCCCTTGGCAGATTTCTGAAAAGTACAACAAAAATCATTATTTGTCCAAATCTTTGCAATGACAGTGCAATATCTTTACTTGAGCAATCAGAATACAGTGGTACATTGTGGTGTGCTCTATATAAAATCAATTTTCCCCTTTAAAAAAATTCATGTTTAATTTTTTTTTTAATATCAATTATTTAATTGAGTAATTGTTAATTCATTATTTTAATCAATTGTCAAGCATAATTCTCGATAAATAATATAGGAGCCAGCCTCTTTATGACCTGTTCACCATGACCAGTTTTGGTCTTACGGTGCATAACATAATTCTAAGTAGAGTTAATTATATGCAAGCTGAGTAATCTAAAACTTCCTAAGCCGAATTTTTGTGGGATTTGACTGAAAAAATTCTACAATTTTTTTAAATTTAATCACATCCAATGTAATAAGAATGCTTGTCCATGATTCGTGTAAATATAAATGAGTAACAGAATAATTGATGAATTAGATTGAAGGAGCAAAATCTGGAGAACTTACATTTCGGATGATGCTAGGATTGCAAAGTGCTACATACTAGTAACATTTATTTTATTTTTTTATTTATATATGCTTTTTATTTCTACAAATATAACAATGATTATTAGCAAAGTACAGGCATGGATCACAATCTGTCTGCCAGAGGTCGTTGTTAAGAGAAAAATAATAAAAGAAAAGAAAAATATAAGAATTAAAGCAAGGTTATAACATTATTCGCTACATGCTAGCTTGTAAAATCAAAGCAGTTGAGACTAGTAAGAGTCAGAGCCAGTAAAGTGAAGAAACGCGTAGAATGGACTAGGATGTCATGAAGCCAGAAAAGTGGACTAAATAGGAGAGCCTCGAGATCAAGAAAAGTCAAAAGACAAATGGGAGTCTAAAAGCAAGGGGTTTATTGATGAAAAAAGTTCAGAGACAAGGAGACACCAGGAAAGGATGAATAGGCTGAAGAATATTGGGCCTGGTGTTGGCGAGTGTGCATTTTGTTAATTTGACCTTACAGTTAATTTACCGAGTTGTGGCCAACTTACATGTAATCAATTTGATAAACGTAAATATTGAGATGGACAAGTGTTGTATAAAGGTGTCAATTTTATCTCGATTTTTTTAACTAACTTTTCTTTAACACAAAAAGTAAACAAGTATGTATTATAATATGTATTATGATATAGAGCACCCATATTACTTATAAAATTTAAAGTTAAGTAATTAGGGCAATATTAGAGGGAATATTTTTTTTTAATTTCTCGAATTAATTATCAAATATTGTAATTAGAAGGTTTAAGGGCTGAATCATGCCAATATCACTGTAAATCAGGTTTTGTTAAAATGTGAACAACCCTTTCATTACAGAAACTCTGAGACATCCAATTTCGTCCTATTCGAGACACACCATTAAAAAAAAGAATACCAATTGTTTGAAAAAAATCAAATGATCATAGAAAACTCCACTAGTAAAATAGTTGGTCTATAATTTACAGCAATTACCGACTACGTGCTCGTCCGGTATTTAATGACGGTCTGGTATTCGATTTCCAGCAGTACTCGTGAAGGAAATCAAACAAGAGGGTCACCCCTAAAAGCATTTTCTTGTCTGTAGAAGCCCGGGCAAACCGCTCGATTGGCCCAATCTTCCTCAAGACACGATCCCAAGACGAGAAAAAGAAAAAACACGATCTGACTTTTATCAAGGATGGACAGAACTACAATCACGTTCAGCCCGATAAGCATTACCGTAAAAATAATCGTATAAAGTTAAGCAGGACATTTTTTTAAAGAGAATTCATGCCAATTTGACGTTCAAAAGTGCCCTTTTTTGTGGTTTCGGTACTTATTCTAATAAGCTACTGTTTCTGATCACGATAGGGTGATCATTTCGAGGATGAACTAAAAGCTACAGTTTGGCAGAAAATATGTAAAAAAATTTTATATTGAAATTTTCTTTACACTTAGAAAATGACAAACGTTGAGCGAGTACCGCTATAATCGGGTGATAGCAGGCGCCGAAGGGTCTACCGAGAATAGGGGTTACGAACAATGGCCCAGTTCGTGCAGTCCGTTATGACCAAGAAATTATCGAGGGATTTATCCCTCAAACCAGGGAGCTCTTGTCAGGGTTTTTCGATTTCTGGATGACAATGTCATAGAGGCAGAGTTGTTCATCATTGAAAACCTGGGAATTTCCCATCTGCCTCTTCCCCCATTGTCTCCAAACCTCAATCTCATGGGGGAGGCGTTGCAGAGAAGGCTTTTCGATCATCATCTGCAGGCAGTTGACCTGCAATAACTGAATGCAGCGTTGCAACAACATGGAGTGAAAGTCCTTATGAAATTAGTGACAACCTTATTCAGTATTTTTTTTTTTTTTTCAATTAATTAATCTTTATGAAAGGTATTGGTTTGGATAAAAAAGCTAGTGCCACGAGCGGGATTCGAAACCACGACTTTCGGCTAAATACGCCGCTGATCTACCACTCAAGATTAATTTTCCTTCAGTAAAAACAATAAAAAATTTCTAGTAACTTTTAATGCAATTTACAATAAAAAAAATCAAATACTAGTGAAAGTATTGGGTTGTCCGGAAAATAATGCAGGATTTTAAGTTTTCATTAAAAAAAATCTATATAAAATATTCTGTTTACGTTTACAGGATTACTCATTTGTATGAATGTCAACACTTATTAATCCTCTTCCAAATGATATTGTTTGTTTACCTCTGTAGCATTCCGCTACTTGGAAATAATTCAGTCATCCTTATAATGTCAAAGCGAGAATTTCGTACGATTTTCTTTTACGAGTTTAAACTCGGCCGAAGCGGAGCCCAAACGGCTAGAAACATTAACCAAGTCTGGGGCGAGGGTTGTGTTAATGAGTGCACTGTGCAAAGGTGGTTTAAAAAATTTGGGGAGGGAGATTTCAGCCTTGAAGATGAAGAAGGTCGTGGAAGGCCTTCCTCTCTTAATGATGATGTTCTGCGATCAGTGGTGGAAGAAAACCCCAAAACAACTGTTCGAGAACTTGCAGAGCAACTCAAAGTCAGTAAAACGACCGTCGCTGACCACCTCAAGGCGATTGGAAAAGTGAAAAAACTCGAAAATTGGGTTCCACACTCATTAAACGATCGCCAAAAAAATCAGCGCTTTGATGTTTGTGCATCACTTCTTTGTCGAAACAAAAATGACCCATTTCTGGCCAGAATTGTTACATGTGACGAAAAGTGGATTCTGGACAGTGGCTCGACAAAGGAGAAGCTCCAATACATTTTCCAAAGCCCCCAACTCATCAAAAAAAGGTAATGGTTACGGTATGGTGGGCTTCATTTGGTTTAATACACTACAGCTTCTTAAATCCTGGCGAAACCATCAATGCTGAATCATACTGTAACCAAATTAATACCATGCATCAGAAATTGGCAGTAATGAAGCCCTCTTTGGTCAATCGGAAAGGGCCCATTTTGTTGCATGACAACGCTCGACCACATGTGTCACGTGTAACGTCACAAAAATTATTGGAGCTTGGCTATGAAACTTTGCCTCACCCACCCTACTCTCCGGACCTCTCGCCTACTGACTACCATTTTTTTAGACACCTGGACCACTACTTACAACACATAATATTCAAAAATCAAACGGAACTGGAAAATGCATTTATTGACTTTATCAATTCTAAAAATTCTGAATTCTACTCAGACGGAATTAATAAGTTACCAACACGTTGGGAGAAATGTATTGAGAGTATGGGAAATTATTTTGATAACTAGTTTCTTTTTTTTTGTTTAATACCAAAATCCTGCATTATTTTCCGGACAACCCAATAAATACCAAAATACAAAATTGGTCACGTCCCTATTCATTTTTGAGCAATTTAGTTTGGTCTGACAGACGCGATTCGAGTTCAAGCCATATTTTATGGTGGACCCTGAAAATGCTAGTTTCACACGAGGTAATTTTTGATTATCTGAGTTGCCTGGTTCACTCTTAACTAGTTAATGTGGGTCTTGGCTGGATTTACAATAGGAAACGTGTGGAATAGTCTTTTCTTCCTAACGGTAGGTCAGTACGATATTAGACCCCGAGGAAGCAGGAGCATTTCTTGTGCTTGCTCTTCTGCAAGAGAAACAAGAAAAGAGGGAAACCCTGTCGAAAAAGGTGTGTATTTTTAAACGAGTGCTTTCTCACAACTACACCCATGCCACTTCTCTCCAAGTCTCTTTCCTTTTGAATTTGCTGATATACCCCCACGCAAAACTAAGATTAACTCTTGGGCATGTAGGAAAAGACTAAAGGCAATTACTATAAGCTTATGTACTGCCCGGAAATCTGGACATTACGAAATTAAATAATGTTGGAAAAGCCTACTTTTAAAAGATTAATTAGTTTATTTGATGAGATAGACAGAAGGAGCACCCTTAAAATTTCAGATCAAGTCAGGATTGAAAGTTGTTTTCCGTCCGTGTTACCGTTCTTCTAGTTCTTGCGGGGAAGAAGAAATAAAAAAATAAACTTGGGCTTTCAAACTAAACGTCCAATTACATTTCTTTGTCGGTGTAATCCAAATGAGGTCATCATGATAGGTGGGTCACATTCACGTTAAACAATATTGTTGTTCAAGTATCCTGTTTATTGCCTAAATTGATGCAGTTGTAGATTAATAATAATTTAAATTAATTATTCTTTTTATGTAAGGTCTTGGTTGAGATGAAAAAGTTAGTGTCATGTACAATTGAAATACGTAATTTGGTCAATTTGACCACTAAACATAAATGGATTAATAATAATTTTGAAATAATGATCACGTTTTAAATTCATAAATACAACTAACAACTGCATTTTTGTTATAAAATAGAAAGTAACAACTACTGATATGGATAGGTAGGTACAACTGTAGTAGGAACCATCAAAAACACAAAATTAGTGTATCAGAAATTTCCTTATAAGTCCTTACAGGACGTATTGCAAAATTCATTAAAATTAATTAAGGGTTTTAGTTGAGATAAAAAAGTAAATGGCACGAGCGGGATTCGAACCCACGATCTTCGGCTTGATACGCCGCTGCTCTACCACTTGAGCTATCGTGACCTCGATCCACTGGGATACCAACTTCCCATCTCAACCCCACCTTTTGAATTTTCCCTCCTTTTTGCCATTTTTCAAATGTCGTGTAATCGGATTGGATTCTCGACGACAAATGAAATGGCCACGGAGAGCTTTAGTGAAGTATACTTCATTTTAAATCATTAAATTCACTAATTTCGTGGTCCGCTTGACCAATTAATATATTACAATTAATTAAGGTTTTTAGTTGAGATAAAAAAGTCAATGGCACGAGCGGGATTCGAACCCACGATCTTCGGCTTGATACGCCGCTGCTCTACCACTTGAGCTATCGTGACCTCGATCCACTCGGACACCAACTTCCCATCTCAACCGCACCTTTTGAATTTTTCCTCCTTTTTGCCATTTTTCAAATGTTGTGTAATCGGGTTGGATTCTCGACGACAAATGACCTTTTTTATCTCAACTAAAAACCTTAATTAATTGTAATACATTATTTGGTCAAGCGGACCACGAAATTAGTGAAAATTCATAAAGTTTAGAATACATACTTGAGATTGCCTTTTTACGCGATTGCTTTCAGTTAATAAGAGTCGCACCGTAGAAAGCGTTCGGATAAGAGTCATTGACATACATAATACATCGACTTGGAAATGAACGTTTGTTGGTTCTAACGGAGAGATTCTCGTTTTTCACAGAAGTCAACGGCTTTTCTTTTCCCTGTATTTTTCTCTTGTCTTTTATCCTTAGCGAATGCCGTTGGGATTGGGGCCCCGGAAGAGAAACGTCCCAAAGAAACAATCGGAAAGTTAAGCTATATCTGTTCTGACTGATTGACCGTAATTACAAAACTTGAATGTTTTCTATATGATATAAATACATTAAAATTTCGAGATTTCTTGTTGGGGCCTGCTGGTTGATAATTGAAAACTGCCAAACTGCAGATTATTATTTTAAGAAAATAATACAGAACATATTTAACTTTATTTATTATAATAACAGAAAAATTATTCTTATTTGTGGGATTTGACAAAATATTATACATATATGGATGGCTACCAACTCTTAACACACCAGCTCTCCGTTTTACATCTGTTAATGCATTGAAAACAAAGGTCTTCAGTGTGAATTGGGACAAAAACCTTGGAACGGAGGATGTTGATGCTTTCTCCGTTGTCGATGTAATGACCTGTTTGAGTTTTTGTTTTATAATAGGAATAAATGGGAGCTTTGAAGCTTTCTGTCACGTTTCTCATTTGACCAAGACAGCTAGTAAAGCATATTTTTTATTGTATTTCTTATTTAGAAATGTGTGGTGATTAGTGACCGTTAGTTTATTATTCGGAGATAGTGAGATGCGGTCTGGTGTGACTTAGGTTTTAGAAAAACATTTTCTTTATCGTGCCAACGTTTCGATCTTTATTGAGATCATCTTCAGGTCCTGGGATTGTTTAAATTTTACAATTACATGTAGGATGTGAAAAAAAAAGGATTTATACAATGCTAGAAAATTTTAGATAAAAAAATGAATTTATACAATGCAAAAAAATTGTAGATAAAAAAATGAATTTATACAATGTTCGAAAATTTTAGATTCAATCAAAGTATTTGTACTCACTCAAAGTGTTTGTTTTTTGCGTAATTGTGCCAGCTTGCTGTCTTTTCTCGTCTCAGTATTTCTATTGAAATTTTTATTAGAAGCAAGTTGCGTTCAAGATCTATTTATGAAAATTCAATTGTAATCGAAGCGGGAACGCAATTATGACCAATGCACGGTTTGGGATCTCGCCGGCAAATTGAGTTGTTACACCAACATCGCAATTAGCCGTCTTTCATACGAAAAGCCTTCACCAAATAATATCAACACGGTGAAGATATCCTCTCATAAACTGTCCAAGGCGCATTACATTTCATACCGAATAAGACGGCCCGTTACGGCTGAGAGCTGAAGAATTTATTTTCACCTAAGTATTAATAGATTTCTGCCTAGAATCTACCGTACATCTAAAGGGCAAGCCGAAATAAGTTTTAAAACGGCCTAATCGTAAGTGATTCCCCATTAATTCGAATTAATAAAAATACTAACTTGTATGGGTCTTGAAGTTCTTCCGTGACGAAATTTAGATAGTTCCATCCCCCAAATGCGAAAAGCCCGTAGTAGAGAGCTTTCGAAATGGAGGTCACCGAATAATTGCCTTCCCAAGGATTGGCCAAATAGGTGAGATGTCCTGCAACCGATTACATAATATTCAGTTCTCTTATCCAGTAGCAGTGAATAAGTGCATCTTTTAATTAATGACATTGTCTCTTCTTTATTGCCTCAAGTAAAAGTATTATTGAGCGAGTACCACCGAATTGTGTAAATAGTGAATATATATAGTTCTAAAACATGTCCATGTTTAACGTAAGTTTTGGGTGAAAGCATTTTTAATAAACAAAACTGTGACCAATTACCTGTTGCTATATGGTATAGGCCGGCTATAATGATCAGTAGGAGAGCCAATAATTTCGCCGCGGTGAACACGTTCTGCACGGCCATGGCACCCCTCACACTCATGCAGTTGACGGCCATTAAGAAACCTGTAAAATAAATAAATAAATGAATAAATCGTACGCTTGAACGTGTAAATTTACAAAATTGTAAAATTGTTTATATTAGCTGAGGTTTGCATTAGGATGAACACGCAACCAGAACAAGCTGATATAGCAATTCTGGAATATTGTTTATTTTAAAGTCAAAAATGTAGCAATCCCCTAATTATTTCCTAGAATAAAACTTCTGACACTCTCTTTCAATTTATCTGTTCAAATCTAGAGTGTATTGTTAACGCAAATAATATTTTTGACAATACGTTAACAAGGGGGCGTCGGTGGCCGCAACGGTTTAGGCGTTGACACGGCGCTAAAGGTAAAGGTCCCGGGTTCGAATCCAGCGGCCCTTTTTTTCAAAAACACCGGCACCACGAGGGTTGATATAACCTCTGCTGTTGCGAACCCTCGTAAAAAAAAAATTAACAACAAATTGACGTGGTGTTTCCCATTCCCAGTTTGTGCATCTTTTATATGTCTGTATCTCTCTCACTGTCTGTCGGTCTATCTTACCTCTCTTTATTTCACACAGTAACTATTTAGGAATGCACTTATATTTATTCGCGCAAATATATTCATTCCAATTACGTTTTCGTGGTCAATTGACCAAGTTAGTTCTTTCAATCAATTAATAAATCTTTATTGGTAAGGTACTGGTTGAGATAAAAAAGTCAGTGTCACGAGCGGGATTCGAACCCACGACCTTCGGCTAAATACTCCGCTGCTCTACCACTTGAGCTATCGTGATTCGATCCTCTCACTAATTAATATTTAATTGTTTAATTTTAATTGTCCCCCACATAAAAAAGGATGTAATACTACTAACTCTAGTCACAAAGATTGGAACAGTTTATAGTTCTTCTTCACGCGTTGGATCGGGAGTACCACAAGGTACAGTCTTAGGCACAATTTTGTTTCTTTTATATATTATTGATTTTTTTAAATTAAATTCTTTGGAAAAATATTTGGTTATGCAGACGATACTCGTATCATTTCCTCAGGGGATAATTTAATTAATTTAACTAAAACTATAAATAATGATATGAAAATAATTAATTTTTGATTAAACTCAAACTTTCTACTTTTTAACATAAAAAATGTAATGTATTACTCTTTTCATTGACAAAGAAAATAAATACTAATAATTTAAAATTTGCTTTTCATGCTTGTGATGGTAATGAAGTGTGTCCTTGCTTGCCTAACCATTTTGCTTATAGTGTTAGATATCTTTGGACTCGAATTTGAGATTTAATTTACACATTGATTTTTTTGGGATCCCGTCTGACAAAGCTCTTTTATAAACTTAGAATTTTACGTAACTTTATGAAAATTGAACTCTTAAGGGCAATATATTTTTCTATTGCACAATCCATAATAGTCTATGGTATTGTTTCCTGGGGAGGTACTAATGAATGCTACACTAAGACTCTGGATGTAATTATAAACTCACTTCTTAAAATTATTTTACGCAAACCGTAACGAATCTATACCAAATCTTTCTTAAATGTTCATGTGTGTTCAACTTCAATTAAATTCAAAAATTTTAAATTGTAGTTAAGATATTTTAAAGCTTTAAGATTTAATTTTTTTCATGCTACAAGTTTATTCAGTATTATGCTTGTTTTATTTGTTTGTTTTTCATTTTGAAAATATATATTATGTTTATTTCTCTGATGATCTCCAAAAACTCCTGCTGTCTAGTACAAGCTTTGCTTTTTGACAGCAGGCAGGGATGTACCAAAATATTATTTTTTGTTATAAATTTATATGTAATGTGCATCCTTGCAAATAAAAATATATTATTATTAATAATAATTATTCAGAAATCGTGAGATGCGGTCTGGTGTGATGTAGGTTTCAGAAAAACATTTTCTTTATCGTGCCAACGTTTCGATCTTTATTGAGATCATCTTCAGGGCCTGTGATTTACAAACATTGTTTACATTTAAAACATACATTTAGGATGTGGAAAAGTGAATTTATACAATGCAAAATATATTTTTTATAATCAATCAAAGTATTTCTAGAAACCTACATCACACCAGACCGCATCTCACGATTTCTGAATAATTATCGATTAACGGTCACTAATCACCTCACATTATTAATAATATTTATTTTGTTTTCTATTACATGTAATATTATAATTCTGTAGCCATTAAGAGATATAACTACTGAAGGGGGAACTCACTATCTCAGTCTGTCTGCCTGTATGTTTATTATCACTTTCGTTCTCTCAAATGTTTATGTATTGCTTATTGCTATATTGCATATTATGCTGTTTTTTAAGTTTTTCATATTATATGCAATCGTAAAACTTAATTTTGGCAGGCTTTCCTCTAAAAGCGTAATTAATAATTTTAAAGAAATCAACATCACTTTTACGTTTCGAGGCACCTTTGTAAGTTATCATCAAGAAGTTTTATGTTATCTATTATACAAAGAGAAAGATGATTCATTGTAGGCCCGACATCTGGAAGAAATAGATTCATTATCGTGCATCCTGCAATATTTAAAAGACTGTTTTATCTTGTTCGATAAGTGAGAACGGTACGAAGTTGGAGATATTTTACATACCGGTTTTCGTAGACCTAACTTCACTTTTCGTACGACACAATGTGACTATTGTTAAACGAGAAAATAATGAATTATTATTATTTTTATTTTAATGTAAACTTTATCTAAATTATCTGTAAAAAAGTAAAGTTAGACAGATGCATACCATAGTTACAATTAATTGTTACCGTTGGCAAAATGGATAAGGTAAATTTTTTAATAAGTTTATTAATGTAAAAATTAAACATGTTCAAGATATTTTATCGAAAGTCCGGTTAGACAAGGACGTAGTTAATAGATTTTCTTTTTCTCGAAAGATTTGAATAGTAGAATAAGAAGAAAAATAGTTTATTTAAGCAAATAGTCGATCATACAACTCAAATTTAAAACAACAAACATAACTTGAAGTTAAAATAATTAAAAACTAGATTAAAATTAAATACCAGTTTTATCAAAAAACAAAGCAAAAAAATTGACAAGAAAAATACCATGTGTTGGGGGCTGAAATAAGAAGTCTTAAGTTCGGTTCTATATTTATATGTGCAGGTGTGCACATGTTGTGCAGAGTTGAATTGATATATATAAAGCAATTAATGTATTACATTTAATTGTTATTGGTGTTTTACTTATGTAAATAAAATTGTTGAAACTATTGTTTAGTTGGAGGTACGATAATCGACAACTAAAAAATCGTGTTAAAATTAAATAATGTAGGTGCATGATGTGAAAGATAAAATTAAATAAATTACAAAACCTATTTACAAGGACAACTACATAGATAGATAATTTAGATATTACCATTTATAGTACATCTTTCATGTACATCTGTACACATGTGATTTCAGTTTAAGAAAACTATAAATTCATTAATTCGTGGTTCGATTGACCGAATAACGTTTTTCAATTAATCTTTAGATAAGGCATTGGTTGGAAAATGGCTAAAAAAGAGAGAAAATTCAAAAGGTGGGGTTGAGATGGGAAGTAGGTGTCCGAGTGGATCGAAGTCACGATAGCTCAAGTGGTAGAGCAGCGGCGTATTTAGCCGAGGGTCGTGGGTTCGAATCCCGCTCGTGACACTGACTTTTTTATCTCAACTAATACCTTACATAAAGATTAAAAAACTACATTCACATAGGTATAATTAAAATTAAAAAACGACAAGAACCGAAACAAAACTGATTCAGCTTACGCGGAAAAATTGCAAATAAAAGCCCATCCTCAAGAAAAAACTCAAAATTGATAGTAGAAGATTTTTTTTCTTTCCCCTTTAGTTATACGTCATTCCCAATTGTTTTATGAATTTTCCGTTCTGATATGGGTTCTTATGCCTGCTAACCAAGTCACTTTCACATGTGCTTTTGAAACTTATTGTAGATAAAGCCACGAAATCCTTAATTCCAAAAATAGTATTATTATTGTGTGGGTCATCAATTTTTGTATTTCGTGTTGCATTTTTTTCACTACTTGCAACTTTTTGTAATTTGTCGCGCTCATCAAAAGCCACGCTGCACACGAATTGTGGTGAGTAAAGAGCGTACAACTAACCACGTTGTACAATAGCTTGTTTGCCCGACTGAAATCTAACTCTGAGTGGGAACATTATTTCTATTGCTTAGGACAACCTACATAGAATTTGATGAAAAGTGAGTACAATAAAAAAAGTTATAATTCTTATTTTTCTCCCTCCCTCCCTGTCTCTCACTCTCAAACTCTCTCTCCCTCTCTCTCTCTTTCTCTCTCTCTTTTCCTTCCTCCGTCCCACTCTTTCTCGCCCGCTCTTTCAGCCTGTCTTTATAAATATTTGCGTACGATAAAGATCATGNCTCTCGCTCTCTCACTCTTTCAATTTTTGCATACGCCCTACACTAACGTACGTTAAGGTAACGCTTTTTGTCCAAGCAAAATGTTGTACATGAAATATTACATAAATGTTACACAGTACAAAGTAATATCCCTATTAAAAATTCAGGATAAGTTAAGGTTTTTAGTTGAGATGAAAAAAGGTAATGGCATGAGCGGGATTCGAACCCACGATCTTCGGCTAGATACGCCGCTGCTCTACCACTTGAGCTATCGTGACCTCGATCCACTCGGACATCAACTTCCCATCTCAACCCCACCTTATGAGTTTTCCCTCCTTTTTGCCATTTTTCAATTGGTTCAATTTTTAATTGGTCAAGCGGACCATGAAATTAGTGAATTCACGATAAGGATCAACCTCAATTTCCTTGAAAGTCATAAATGTATTTATTTAAGTTTTTATTTTTTTAAAGAAAAAATCTGTCTTTGGAATTGATATTGTTTTCTATGTATAGGTCAATTAAACACGAAAGTGACAGTAATTTATAATCTTCGCCTGCCCTGCGTATCGATCATCTTGTCAAATGACTCACTTAAAACCACTGCTGCGAGTGTGGTGATGGCTATCTGCGGTGGTTCGCAATCGGGAAAAAACGGCTTCACGGCGTATTGGGCGCAGGTGAGAGCGACGATTGCCTGCGTCGTCGGACGAATTACCCACAGAGCGGTCCACAGACGCAGAAAAGCAGCCAGGTCGCCGAACGCAACCAGGATGTATGCGTAATCCCCGCCGGACCTGTAACAATTACAAAGATGCTGGTTAAAAACCATATTTTTGAAGGAAACAATGAAAATACGTTGCACTCCGATCGTGACAAATTAGTAGGATAAACAAACCAAGATATCAGAATTATTGAGTACAGCTACATGGTCAATATTCAAAGTACGACCGAGAGTTCAAGAAATGATCACTCATTTTAGAAATTTAAATCGAAATTCATCGCAAAGTAGACAAATTGGTCTAAATGGTCAGTCAGCAGCCTATGCGATTTGAACGGACACACGCCTCCCCTGACACCTTTCTGAGGAATCCTTCTCTCGCGGCCTCGTGGTTAAGACAGTGAAATGACCTATTTCAAATAAGTTATGTTCCCATGCCTGCAGTTGCTGCTGAGGACACGGGCATAAAGACTTTTCTCTTTAATTAAATCTTAAAGGTAATTTCAATTCTACTATGTACGGTTGAGAAAAACTATTTTGTCTTTGATCCTCTCGTCTTTTCTTGCCAGTGTTCTTCCCAAAGAAGTTGACTCTTCCTGGCCGACATGAAAGTACACAGCTCCTTGTTGCTGATATAAATACTGCATCTAAACAGGTGTCTTTACCTGCTGCATTAGCTACAGTATCTGTTGTTTCGTTTCCTATAATGCAGATATGTGCTTGAGCCTTATGGATTTTACTCCGGATATTATTTTCTTCTATGGAAATTAAGTTTTTGAGAATATGATACACTACTGTTGGATTTTTTTTTTTTTTTTGGGTTCCCCAATTTTTCGATGGCTATGCCAATGCTATGATACCTTCATCTGTCCACCAATTTAGCCTCTCTGGTGCCTTCAGTATGCTCGGCTTGGCTATTTAAGCACTAGTCAGTTACCATCCTTACGCACTCTTTTGTAAAACGAAAGCATGACTTAAACCGACTGCAAGTTTGCTTTCCCAATCCACATGGATATGCTGCAAACATTGATTAATAAATTTGTGCGTATGTCCGATTCGTAATTTTAATTGCGGTGATTGTTGAGAAGAATATTTTCGTTCCTATTGCTTTCTGTCGGTCCAAGAATTAAGCAAGTAAATCTCAAGATAAGCGAGATAAACGCAAAAAACAAATTGTTTATTACAGCTTCTTGATTTTAAGCTCGTTTTCTATACAAACAGCCCTGCTGAGTCGACTGGAGCAAGGATTTTAGGTATAAATACTTACTAATCAGATACTGTTCTCTTCATTTTGCCAAGTCATTATCATTAGAAAAATTTAACGTTAGTAGGCAACTCAAAACAAAATATGCATTTTTGAGGTAAATAATTAAGGAAAACTAACAACAAAGAAGTAAGTGCTTTAACTAAAGCTTAATGGGGGGGGGGTTAGCCACAAAGGTTTAAGCGTTGACACGGCGCTCATCACTGTAAGTTAAAGATCTTGTGTTCGAATCCAGCGGCCCTGCATTCGAACCCGACATACTTACAAATGAACTTTTTTCAAAAACACCGGCACTCTGAGGGTTTAAAGCTTAATTGAAATCGTCACATTACTCGCTTGGCCCGGTCAGTTAGAGGTAACGTAGGCAGGCGTAGGTGATAGGATACATAGGTGTGCCGGTAGCACGTGAGAAACATTGCCGGCCCTACAGCTGTTGTGTTGCAATAACGGGCGCCAAGGTAATCCGGGTTTTTCCCTACTTGCACTTATGATGATTCAATAATAAGTGAAAACTTTGTCCTCGTGCTCTCTTATATTAGAATAAAACAGGTCTAACATCTATCAATTTCTTTGTACTGATTGTACGCACTCGTTGCACCTCTCCTTCCTAGACCTGCTATAAGCCTCTTTCCCTTCGAGAGCAACAACAGCTGATAATTACAGAAAATGAAACATTGTTCTGAAACTGAACCAAAGAATACTGAACTACGATTTGTTCTGAACTAAAAACGTGGTGTACTTTCAGCTGTACCAGGGGGAGGCTTCACTCCACCTTTTCGCTCTTAACCCCGTGTCCGCCAACACGCCCGCGATATTTGACATCTGACGACGCGTCCTGTGCTAGTTTTGCCCCCGTGATTTGTGACAGAACAGACCTTACCTGTATAGTATGGCATAGTTGCCGGGAAAGGAGAGGGGGAGTAACTGAGTAACTGAGGATGATCCTTTCCATAATATCCTTCTGTTGTAAGAATGTTAAATATACGATTGACCATCCCTACCAAAAGGTTCTATAGAGCCCTTGAACGCTTGCCATCGACGGAGGGGGGAATAATCTGATCATCCTTAGGTAGAACGGAAATGACGGGTACAAAATTGGGCAGGAGAGGGAGGGCTTAGGTCGCTTGGATCATTTGATAAGTGGAAGTGGAATTAACCCAATTCTCTACCAATATTAAAAATGTTTCTAGTTCATCATTCAAATGTGTGTGCGTAAATTTCACTTAAGGTGAATGTAGATGACTTAACTGTAGCCTCCCACAAACTCCAGAAATGCGGCGATCGAGGAGGAATTAGTACAACGAGATTCTTGCTCCTGAAGAAGCACAATTTTTTTAATTCGGTGAGGTTCGATCTCTTTGTACAAGTTTTTTAGCGATTAGATCGGTTCTCTAAATGTGATAGCCTTGGTGATCTACAGACAAATATGGTGATGTAAGCTTTAATTGGTGTTGCTCTCCAATGAAGTACACGTTTAAAATAAACGGGCTCACAATAATCGCAATGCAGAAAAGGATGTGGCGGCTGAATGCGATATAAGGGCAAATGCCATTCAACATATGGAAATGCTTGTGGCGTGGTTTGACACTTAAGACAATTTATGTTGACGGAAAACACTGAATCTTGCCATTAAGACGCCAATAATGGATTTTAATTGGAGCCAGAAACAATTCAGGGTCCCCATAAAGAACCAAAAGCCAAGTAATATTGTGATTTTTAGGGAGAGCAGTAACGGAAATCTTTCCGGTTCCAGAATAAAATATTGCAGTCCTTCGCCTATAGAGACAGAGCTCATGGGAAAACTAATTACTGTTCTGAAGTTTTGCGATGTGTTTGCTGAAAAATATCCACAATATGCAGAATATATTTTGCACGTGCCTTATTCACAATTTTACTGCTCCTTTCACAGTAGCTTGTTTTGGAACTTCACCTTGGATTTTTATGGTTGGTTCAGAATCTGGGACATAAAGTTGTGATCCGTAAAGTTTATCCCAGGAAGACTGCAATGTCAACCGCTGTGTTTGACTACTTTAGGAGAGTTGGAATCCCCGCGTTGGGGCGCATCCGGAATTCAAGTTGCAGGGTACAATGGTATACCATATGAAATGCTGCGAAGCATTGCCTGTTGGAATTCTTTAACAACATATGGAATACGGGCTCCTATCCCGACGTTGGCTTGTGATTCTGGTCATTCCATCCCTTGAGATTGGCAAGGATCCGAATCTGGCCACGAGTTACAGACCAATGTCCCTGACTACCTGCCTGAGTAAACTCCTGGAGTCCATGATAAACGATTGACAAAAGGGTTTTACGGCTATTATCAAGCCAGATTCCATACGCATCGTTCCGTAGTCGTTCATGCTTCCTTTTCGAGAGTGATATTCAGAATACGTTTAGAGCACGCTCTGATTGATTTCTTTGACCTCGAGAAAGCGTATGATACGACGTCGAGATTTGGGATACTTCGGAAATGTTGGGATAACGGATTTAGGGACAAATTACCCCGGTTCCTGGAGGCTTTCTGGAGGAACCGAAGATTCCGTGTCAGATTGGGGTTCGTGATCTCCAGGGAGTTTGTTCAAGTGAATACAGTCCCTCAGGGTTCAGTGATAAGCGTTACACTTTTCTTGATCGCAGTGAACGGTATCGCGGAGGGTGTCCCCTGACCAATCGCACGATTACAGTATTGACATCTGCTTTTCCCTTTCGGGGAAAGACCGAGCAGAGGTCGAAGGGGTAATGGAATCAGCGATAAACGCTGTGTCTGGAAGAGCCGAGGAAACTGGATTCGCCTTCTCAGCGTCGAAATCCGAATGTACTTTGCAGGCTGAGGAGGGCCGAAAGCGTTCCGCAGCTATGCCCGAGATGCGCTGCGATAAGGTACATAGAGTCGGTGAGGCTCCTCGGCCTCACGTTTGATCAAAAGCTTAGATGACAGCCTCACATTGAAGGGTTCAGGCCTTCGAGGTGAAGGGAAGGAAAATAATAACATCATTAAAGTTCATCGGTCACTAAGTCTTCATGTGGGGAGCGGACAGGGAGACCCTCCTGAAAATATTTGACACGCTGCCCTGCTAGATCTTGGTGTATGGTTGTATGGCCTATTCTTCAGCCCGAAATGGTATGTAGATAGAAGTGAATGCATTTAAGAGTGAACGTGAGTATGGAACTGCATCGTTGGGTGCTGAATTAACTTAGATGTTGACAGCACCATCCCCCGGAGCCCAACCGCGGTGACTGGACGGTTAAGAATGAGGTCTGCCTCCGGACTGCCAACACCCGGGGTGGGTGATTCTCGAATCTGTCGGCTACTAGTAATAGCAAAAGCTGGAATCGCCGGGGGTCTACGAAAACCCAATAGGCTCAGCTCTGTACACGTTTGTATATATGTACGTATATGTGGGGATGTGAGCCTATATAAATCCAAATCTAAACAAGTAACAAATCATTTGATCGGGAAGAACTGAACAACGAGCTTGTTTCTTTTGTAAATTGTTTACACATGTTCATAAAAAAATTCAAACGCATATTCAACTATCTACGTGCTATAAATGTTATAAATATGTTTTAATCGTAACACAATAAGATAACATTGTAAAGGCTTAGCTGGGCCAAGAGTTTTTTGTCAATAAGATTAAATTATAAAAACGTAGCGAAGCTGAGCTCTAAGATTGAATCCTATTCCCACTCTTCGCTCTGACCATTGCACTGTTGCTCGCCCCATCCTATTATTTTATTACATTTCTATTATTTAGAAAATAAAGTTTTTTTTTCAAACTTAAAAACTTCTAGCATGGTGATCGTAACTGGTG